GGCCCTGCTTGTGGAGGAAACGGGTAAAAGCAGGAGGGAGCAGGAGATGCAGGCCTTTTGGAGCCGAGGTCTGCCTTGGTGACAGTTTGCGGTGTCAAGGTCAATGAACCATGGGACAGGGTGGCGAGTTCCAAGTGTGTTCCCAGAGCAGGCACTCATTTCCTGGGGGTTCTCCCGGGAGTGTGGGAGGCTGGGAGCTGGAGGCCAGACCCAGGGGAGTCAGAGGGACCGTAGGAGCCCCAGGCAGTAGTGCCAGCAGGAGGGGAGTCAGGGCCACCAAGGGGCCACCTGTAATGGGTCCTTGAGACCCGTTGGTGGGAGGCTGGCAGAAGGACAGAAGGACAGGCATATGCCACTCTGAGAGATTAGGGCATGGAGAAATGACCTTTTTGGGGTAGGAGGCCATTAAGCCCATTCCTGTATTGGCTTTGCGATGCTTGTGAGCCGAGAAGCACAGGGGGTGTGTGTAGCCAGCCATGGAGCAGTGTGACTGTGGCTTCTCTCAGAAGAAGCGTCTGCCGTCCCGGGCCATGAGCAAGGACAGTAATCTCTCCAGCCTCACAGGGCTGGTCTCCGGAGTGTATTCTGATGCTGTGCCAAGCCAGCGTTACGTGACAGCCGATCCCTCCCATGCTGCTGCTGGAATGATCCTGATGGTTCCCTACTGCCCATGAGGCCAGGTGCTTGGGAAGCCGTTTGTGCCCTTAATCCTTGAGCGTGCATTTCCTGAAAGTTCAGGGAGCTAGATGTCTATACAGCACTTGAGCTCACAGCCTGGGTCCCAGTTGGCTAACTGTCCTGGGAATGTCCTATCTGGCCATGGCCCTGGAGCACTGGGGCCGTGCCTGTAGTGGGATGGCTAGTGGAGGACCTGGATATTATGAACACCTGGTGGTGGTCCAGGATAGTCACCGTTCCTCTGTGCCTTCTGCGCTGTTGGTCTCCGCTCTGGGGGCTGGGGAGGGGGGCAGACTGACTGATGGCCAGGGGTATCCTGTGTGGGTGAGGTGAGGTGCTAGTGGAAGGTCTTGGCCCATTTCCCTGTTTGGTGGAAGGGTTCCTTCTGCCTTTTAGCAGTGCTGGCGTTGAACCGCCAATACCATTCCCTACTCCAGGCCTTCCTTCCTCACTCCTTTTGCTTTGAGATCCCTGTAGGTTTACATACATTTGAGAGAAGTAGTTCAGAGAGACGGACCCCTGCCACACATCCCCAGTTCCCTTAGGGTATCTAGGACACCGACATTCACACACTCCACACCTTTTCAGATTTTACCAGTGTTATGTGCATCTCCGTGCACGCATGTGTGTGTTTACTTCTGTCTAGTGCTAACTGTACAGGTTCGTGTGGTCACCAGTGTCCAAGTGCAGAACAGCTCCATGACCAGGACGCTGTGCTGTCCTGAGTAGCCATGGCCACCATCTTCCTCTGCCCGCCGCACACCCCGAGATCTTACCACATTAGGGATATCTTACAAATGGAATCATGCGGGGTGCGGCTGTTAGGGAGGAGCTCAGTGCCCTTGAGAACCACGTAGGCTGGGCCATCCTGAGTCGGGCCCTGCTTGTCGCTGGAGAGTTCCACTGGGTGGGGGACAGAGTTTGGTTAGCTGTTTGTCCGTTGAAGGCCTGGGACATTTCCAGTTTGAGCCTGTTAAGAATAAAGTTGCTGTGAAGTTCATGTTCAGGTTTTTGTGTGAACTTGAATGTCTATGTCTGTGGGGCAGATGCCTGAGAGTGCAGCTGCTGGGTCACGTGGAGAGCACATGCTCAGTGTTTTTAAGGAACTGCTGGTCTGTTTTCCAGAGTGGCTGCACCAGGTCATGTGCCCTGTGGTGTGGGAGGGCCCCACTGTCCTGGCAGGTGCACAGGGACACTTCCTGTGGCTTCAGGCCATGGTGTCCTCACGGCTCATGCTGTCGCAGGTCTTTCCGTGGCTTTTTTGGCCATCTGTGTGTCCTCGTCAGTGTGATGTCTCTTCACACCTTTTGCCCATTTTCTAATTATATTATTTGGTTTTTACTGCTGAGTTTTGAGTCCTTTAGGCAAGCAGGAGAGCAGTACTTGGTCTGTGATTTGCAGACATGCTCTCCGGTCAGTAGCTTGGCTTTTCACCCTCTTTGTGGGTCTTCCGTGGACCGAATGTTTTTAACTGCGGTGCGGCTCCGCTTGTCACTCACGGGCTGTGCTGTTGATGGCCAGCCTGGAGAAGGCCTACGACCTCACCTTTAATGCTGAGAAGCACAGTGCCCCTGGGGTCGTGGTTTAGATGAGCTTTTTCTCATGTGACTCTCCGGTTGGCCCAGCTCCATTGATCAGGAAGGTTCTTTTTCTGCTACTCTGCACTGTTGTAAGTTGTCTACACATCGTGGGTCTGTTTCTGGCTGTCTCTGTTCCATGGGTCTGTTTACCCCAAGCCAATACCTTAGAGTCTTACTTACCAGTCTTTGTATGAGGTCTGTTATGGAATACTGTGAGTACTTAAAATTTGTTCTTTTTAAGGATTGTCCTGACTGTTCTTGGCCTTTTGAGTTTCACATTACATGGAGAAAGAGTTTTGTGAGTTTCAAATACAGCCACGGTGTTTTGGGAGGGACCGCGCCGGACCTCCCATAAGCTGGGGAGAAGGACATCCCGGCAGTTCTGAGGCTCGTGACTCTGAGCGCTGTGCACCGTTACTTGCCGGTTCTTCCCTCATGCTCTTGGAAAAGCTTTTGTGGTTTTCTGTGTATAGGTCTTGTGCCTCTTTTGTGAGACTTATTCTTAGATGTTAATGATTTGGAATACTGTTGTGTTACCATGAACAGCATCGTAATGTTTCATTGTCCAGTTGTTGCTAGGGCTTGTGGAGACAGTATTGTTTACACTGACCTTGTAGTTTCCAATATTGCTTTGTTTTAATTAACCCTAATAGTTTTTCTCTAGGATCATCAGGTTTTTATCATACACAGTGTCATTTGTAAATAGTGTTTTTTATGCCCTTCCTGTCCTTAATCTGCTCGCTTCTTTTTCTTGCCCCGTTGAATTGGGTAGAACCTGAGCCCAAGCACGAGTAGAAGCAGTGCCGGCGAATGTCCTGTCTCCTCCAGCACCGTGCGTGTGTGTGTTGTGTTTCCGATTAGGTTGGGATGATCATTGTGCTGATGGGAAGTACCCAGAGGCAGGAGACAGCTGATGCTGGGAGACAGGGGTCCTGGAGGCATCCTGGGGACATGGGTCCAGGTCCTTGCAGTGGGACGAAACATTGTGGGGGGGAGATAGAGGCAGGTGGATTGTTCTAGTAGGGGGATATCCTGTCTGATGGCTTCTGTCTACTCATGAAGCATGGGAGCTGCTGAGCCTGAAAATGAGGGAGAAGAGGCAAAAGGAGCTGTAAGATTTCTCAAAGAATTAGTGCCATTGTGGAGTGACCCAGTCAGGTGGAGGCAGAACAAAGGAGAGTTTACTGGACACGCTGCAAGGGGCAGCAGGCAGGACAGTGTGTGGGTCAGGGAGGGGAGACTGGCCGCTAGGAGGTGGGGGCGGGCTGTAGCTAAGGGGGGGGGCGAGGCGGTGTGGGAATGTGGGAGATTTTCCTTTTTTGGTTCCTGTGTGCAGGTGTAAGTGGCCCATTGGTCAGCTAGGGCTTATGGCTGTTGTGCGGTGGGTCACCTGATGGGCCTGTTTGTATTCAGCCAGGGGACTGGGGGTGACTGTGGGCTCTCCCCGTCCTCCAGTTTCCATGGCTCAAGTTGGTTGCCTGAAAGCGGCCTCCACAGAGTGGGCCCCGCACTTGTCGGACCGCGGTCTTGAGCCTGCTTGGAGTGGTCACGCTGGGGGCTCCCACGTGTGCGTAGGAGCACAGGAGGAGAGAGCTCAGCCTGAAGCTGAAAGTGAGGGCATGAGGGTGCGGTGGTCAGCGTCTGCAGGACTGAGCTGGCGGCCAGGCGATGGGCTGAGAAGGGGGTGTCGAGTTGAAATGGCAGAGCGGGGGTGAGGGGAGACAGTTACTGATGGTGACAGGGTCGGGGCATAACGGGCAGAGGACGAGGTCGCTGGCAGGAAGAGGAGGTCAGGACTGAGGGGCAGGAGTTGAAGGGCGGTCAGGAGAACTTGAGACCACCAGGAATTCTCACCTGGCTCAGCGACGGGGCAGTGCCCACAGCAAGGGCTGGTGTGGGCGGTTGGCACAGCAGATGGCTCGCGTCGGCTGGGACTCCTGGAGGGAGGAGTGGGGAAGGGGCCGCAGGCCACAGTGAGGAACAGGGCTGGTGGGTGCCCCCCTTCCAGGCCAGGGGGCTGAGGTGGTTTCAGAATTGGGGGATTGAGAGCAGGGTCAAAGCCCCCTCCTTGAGGCTGTTTCTCTGGTCAAGCCTTCTCTTCCCTCCCTCCCAGCTCAGCCAGGTTCTCAGAGGGTAGAGCCCCCACCGTGTGCCTCTTCTCCCCGGGAGGCCTCCTCCTCCTTCTCTTTTCCGGACACAGGAGGGCTCGATCTCCGATGGGAAGGGTCGGCTATGCTCGGGGAGGCACACCCGTGAGGCAGTGTCTTGACGCTGTATTTGGTCCAAGGCCTTTTCTGTTTCCCTGGATGCCCAGGTGTGTCCTTGAGGCTGGGACCCTTGGCCTCTCTGGTCCAGCCACATGTGCTGTCCAGACTCGTGTCCTGCTGCCAGTTGTCAGGGACTCAAATATCTAACTGGGTATTTTCTGTGGGACCTTTGTCCTGCGGGCACAGGAGGCGCTCCCTCAGCCCTCGGGTCTCACCGCAGGGGGCCCTGTGACAGACGGGGGGGGGGGGGGGGGGGGGGGGTCGTTGCGGAGGTGGTAGGAGCAGGGCCCGATGGTAGCGCTGGGGGCCTGCGGTGCGTGTGCCCCAGGGACGGCCTGTCGGTGCCACAGTCGGGAGGTGCCCGTGGCAGCCTCCCAGGCCCGCTGCTCCCCCCCCCGCCCCCCCCTCCCCATCCCCGCTCTCCGAGCACCCCTGGGAGGCCGGCCGGGACTCGCAGCGCTTGTGCCTGCTTCCTTCTCCTCGGGGGCAGGGGCCTGTCCTCAGTCCCCCCAGCCCAGGCCCTGAGCCTGCGGTGGGTGAGCCGCTTCTGCGCAGCATCTGGTCCTACCCTGACTGGGTGGTGCAGCCCGAGGAGCACCTTGGCCTGGAGCTTGTCACTCCGTAGCTGCACGGAGCTGTGCCAGGCCCGGTCCCCCAGCCCCTCGTAGACGTGGACGGAGGGCTCCTCCTGCAGGTGCCGGCACGTGGTTAAGGAGATGGACAGGGAGTGTGCCCTCCACAGGCTTGTCGTCTAGCGGCAGACAGGCGGGGACAGAGCGTGCCCTTGTGTCTGGCGTCCAGCTCCCAGCCTCCGCCTGCTCGGGAAGCTGTCGTGAGGCACGTGTGCCGCGGGCCTCAGGGACACTGGGGGATGGGAGTCTTCCAAGGCGAGCCCGTCTTGTGGTGGGGGCAAGTGAGCACGTGGGTTACAGGCCGGGGTCGGCCCTGGAATGGGGGCTGGGCTGCGTGTGAGCCCTCGCCACCCTCTGCTGGCACGGACAGACAAACCGGAGTCTGTGGGACGCCCACCTTACCAGGATGGTCTGCGCCAGTTTCCCTGGGGGCCATCCCAGCACCTTGTTCCTCTGGAGAGGGGCAGTAGTGGGGATAATGCGGCAAATAAAACCAACTCTTTTGATTGCAAGTTATAGGAATCTACTCCAAAAAGCCACACACAGCTTCACATCTGCAAGGTGGGAAGACCCCACAACCAGAGGGAAGGCGGGTGACCGGCTCAGGCCTGACGCAGTGCGACTGCCCCAGCCCCCATCCACGACGTCTTCCTCTCTCTGAACCAGGGCGTGAGTGAGGAAAGGGGCCCTTACCCGCCCCAGTCCGGCTCCGAGTTCCAGTTCCCGTTCCCGTCACACCGTCACACCCTCACTAATCCTCACACAGATACTGCGGCCAGCACCAGGGGGCAAGTGGTGGGGTGGTTGGCAGGGGACTTTGGATTAGGCGTGGCATCCTGTGGAGCCAGTGGGGATCAGGACTGGGACGTGCTGGGAGGCTGGGGCTCTGGGTGTTGCAGGGCTGCGGGGACCTCAGCCCAGCCCCGATGGCTTCCTGCCTGGTAGGGTCTGGGGACTGGGCCTCCCGTCCCAGAAGCCAAGGCCCCTGGCAGCGTTCTCAGCAGTCTTTGGGGATGATCTAGGGGTGTGGGCTCTGAGAGGCTCAAGGGTGGTGGCCACTGTCCTTCCAGGAGGCGCCTCCCATCGAGCTCCCACATTCTTGTGCAGCTTTCTTGGGCACAGAGCTGAGACCTGGAAAAAATTGCCTAGGTCATCTGTTTGACATTCCAGTGAGACTTGGGGAGGGTTTGTGAATGAGGTGGGAGAGGCCCTGCTTACCAGCCCCCCTTACCCCTGCGGCCTGGGTGTGGCGCACTGGCCATTCCGTGGACGCCACTGAGCCATCTTGGCCTTGGTGACTCAGTTGAGGGTCAAGTCTTTCACTTCTGGTGGGCTGTTCTGGACTGTGGCGGGAGAAGGCCACTGATTGAGGCCTGGGGAGGGGTGTCAGGCAGGGTCCAGGGGTCCGGGGCCCAGAAGGCGTAGGGCTGAGCCTGGAGGGGCCATCCTTCAATGGAGGCTGTCCTGGGGGCGGATGCCCACTGCAGCGTTTCCTGGGCACTCTCAGGGCCACCTTAGGGTCACCTTAGGCTCAGAGAAGGTAGTCAGCAGCCTCGGGACCTGCCCAGAGTTACAGGGAGACTTCCCTGTGGCATCTTGCAGCAAGGAGCACTGCTGAGGGGGCCCAGAGCAGACCAGGGGCTTCAGGAGGGTGGGCCCCCCAGAGTCAGGGGCTGAGGGCCCAAGTAAGCTGCCACCGCCCAAACCAGGAGACCAGAGTGTCCACTGTGGGCCAGCCAGGGCTCTTCCCATTGTGGCTGGGCTGGGGGAGGGGATGCTGAGGCCGATCCTTCTTCCTGCTTCGGGATTATTTTCACAGATGGCCTTCAAGATGAGTAACCCAAAGACATGGAATCAGCTCAGACAGCTGCTTGCCCTTCTTGGTTGTTTTCTGGAGGGTGCACATCTGTCCCTCTGTTGGCCTGTAAAGCGGCAGGGTGGATGACACCTTTTAGATCTGGCCGGCGCTAACCCGGTCAGATGGCGGCTTTGGTTCTGATGCCCGGCTTCCAGAAGGGAAACCGGTCCCTACGACCCTGGGAGCCCACTCTGTCGGGGAGGCTTGGCCTGGGATCCCCACCCCTTGCCAGGGCTGGAGACCGAGTGCCTTGCTTCTCACTCATGGTCTCTCGGGGTGGTCTGTGCAGGTCCTTTTCCTGGAAGGCCGGAGAGGTGAAGGTCACACACTGTGTGTGTGTGTGTGTGTGTGTGTGTGTGTGTGTGTGTGTGTGTGTGTGGGGCTGCTCCCTGGGGGTGGCGGGGAGGGCACTGGGCGTGGTCAGGAGGGAGTGGGGGGTGTCCTGCAGGGTGTGTGAGGTTCTATAGCCCTCAGGCAATTGAGGGGGGTGGTCAAGGAGAAGGTGACCTTGTGCAGTCCACCCTGGGGGCAGACAGGTCAACAATGCAGAGGGAGCTAGGGCCTTGAGAAGCTTCCGGAAAACAGCTCCCAGAGGCCAGTACCTGGGCAGTGGAGAGACAGCCTCATGGGGAAGGCCCGCGGCCCGGCCAGCCCTCCTTGCCCCCTGCTCTGAGTTGGACTGCCCTTTCTGGGACCCCCGGGGGTGGTGATGTCAGGTGGCAAGTGCCCCCGCCAGGATTCTGGTCCAGCTGCGCTGGCTGTGGGGTAGAGATGGGTCTGTTGGGGCCGGGGCTGGCCCTCTCACCTGCTGGCCTGCACCGCCTGCAGTGGCTGTGATGGGCTCCGTGTTCCTCCCCCCCAGGCGAGTGGAGGCCGCCAGCAGCCTGCAGCCGGACCTATTGCTCTTCGGAAGGAGGCAGCAGGGGACGCAGCCGCCAGGCCTGCCGGGCCTTTGGTACCCTGGCTGCTTTGACAGACTCACTCCTGGGCGCTAGGGGCCGAGACCGCAGGACTCAGAGGGCACAGCCTGCCCTGACCTCTCTGTGGCTGTGGGTCCGGCCCTTTGGCTGCAGCTCCCTGTTAGCGCTCACGTCCTGACCCTGGAAGACAGATAGGAGCACGGAGGGAAGGCCAGGCAATGGCTGTCCCCAGGCCCCACCCAGGATCCTGAGGCCCGGAAGGGGAGGGGGCTTCTCGAACTCCCGAGCACTCCCAGGACCTCTGCCCGTTGCCCTGCCTTCCCTTTGCCCTCATCGAAGTGGCAGGATACAGCGACTTTGTTATCGGGGTAATTAGCTTCAGACCCTGGACTGAGGCTGCCCAGGTCCTGGGCTGCTTCCCACAGGCGGTGCACCCTGACCCCAAAAGCAAGGTGAGGCCCTGCCCGCTGAGCAGCCGAGGTGTCACCCTTGGGCACCTCCCACACTGCCCTTTCTGCCTGGGGTCCGTGTCCTTCAGGACCGCTTGGGCCTGGTCACGGCGTGGGGCCTTGTGACCCAGCCTTGCCAGGGGCAGAGGGCGCCGCCAAGCCTTAGGGAGGGGATGCCCCCAAGGGTGCTGGTCCAGCCCACCGCCCCACTCCTCAGGCCCAGTCTGGCCCCGGTGCTCCCCAATCTGGTGCCCCGAGCTGCCCCCCTGGCAGGTCGCCCCCGCCATGGCCGAGCACCTGGAGCTGCTGGCAGAGATGCCCGTGGTGGGCAGGATGAACGCGCAGGAGCGGCTGAAGCACGCCCAGAAGCGCCGGGCCCAGCAGGTGAAGGCGTGGGCCCAGGCGGAGAAGGAGGCCCAGGGCAAGAAGGGCCATCGGGAGCAGCCGCGGAAGGAGGCAGCTGGGGGCAGGCCACAGAAGCGGGTCCTCTTCCCTCCCAGCGTCACCCTTCTGGAGGCTGCTGCCCGCAACGACCTGGAGGAAGGTGAGCGTGGCCGAGCCCCAGGGAGCAGTGCCCTCCTTGGAGGCCCCAGGGCTGGCCAACGTCCTCACCAGCACGCCCCCCGTGGCGGGCCCCCCCGTGGCCAGCCCGTGGTGGGCTGTGCACATGGGTACTGCTGCGGGGGTAAGCTGATGGGGGGTTGGGCAGGGGCACCCGGACAAGAGCCCAGGGCTTCGATCAGGGGAGCTGGGAGTGGCCCATGGCCTTCGCCACCTCTTGCCAGGGTGCTGGGTGACGATCGGGAGTGTCCTGGCCACTGCTTGCTTGGGTCCTCCGTCTCCTCCTCTGTCTAGGAGGACGGTAGCGCTCACCTCAGCAGGTTAGAACAAGGGGGCAGGGGTCCCCCACAGGCCAGCCCCCTTGGCACCTGCTCTGGCTCCGTCTTTGACTTCTTCGTCCCCTTCAGGACCATCCTGGCTAGACCACGGGCCTGAGCTTTTAGCAGCCTCCTCATTCCTCCCCTGTACCCTGTGTGCTCACAGCCCCTCTGTTCTCCGGAGAGGCTCTGGAGGGTTCTTCCTGCCTTCCTCCCGGGGGCAGAGGCTGGGGGTGCAGAGGGCAAGGAGGGGAGGGCGGTGCCTTGAGGCAGGGGAAGTAGAGGGCGGCGTGGTGGATGTGGTACAGGCCGTGGAACTGTGGGAAGGAGGCTGAGTCCTCCTAGTGCCTGTGGAGCACAGTCTGAGGGGCCCAGGCTGTTAAGGAGGTGACCTTGGTGACAGCCTGGGCCCACTGAACCATGAGGACAGGAGCTAGCTCTGCTGAGGGGAGACCCTGGAGGGCACTGGACGCCTCGGGCCCACACTGCAGGCTGCAGCTGGGCAGGGAGCCTGCTCGGGGCTGCGGTGTGTGTAGGGTTGGGGCACTCAACTAGTGGGAGAAACGGGGGAGCAGGGGCCCCAGTGAGGGTATTGTTGGAGGAGGGAGCCAGAACCCCAGCCAGAGTGGGACGGACCGGCGCCCCGTGAGGACCGCCCACATGCAGGAGCCCGAGGGTCAGCGCGCGCGGGGAGCCGTCGCGGGGAGCCCTCGTGGGGAGCCGTCGCGGGGAGGGCTGGCTCCTGCTTGGCGCTGCCGGGGGGGGGCGGGGCGGGGCGGGCACACTGGGGGTAGACAGAGGCCCAGTGCCCTGGCTCTCGAGACCTCAGCCTGGGCTCGGGGGCCCCTCTGGGCCCTGCACTGCTGTCCTCCTTGGGTACCCTGCCCTTGGACTAGAGCAGTGCTGCCCTGTGGCTCTGTGCCCTAACCACACTCCCGCCCCCTTCTCACAGTCCGCCAGCTCCTTGAGAGTGGGGTCAGCCCTGACCTGGCCAACGAGGATGGCCTGACGGCCCTGCACCAGGTCAGCCATGCGGGGGGGTGGGGGGCGTAGTGGGGAGAGAAGGGGGCGCTGGCCTGGGCGCTGGCACTCAGGCCTTGTGGCTCGTAGAGCTGCATTGATGACTTCCGAGAGATGGTGCAGCAGCTCCTGGAGGCTGGGGCCAAGGTCAATGCCCGCGACAGCGAGAGCTGGACTCCCCTGCACGCCGCGGCCACCTGCGGCCACCTGCAACTGGTGGAGCTGCTCATCGGCTGGTAGGGCCCCGTTGCTGCCTCGGGGGAGGGCGTCTCTATGGGAGAGGGACGGGACTTGGGCCCGGAGAGGCGGGGCCTTCCTCACACAGGCCGTTCATCCTGAGATGCAGGGCCGCTGTGTCCTGGGGAGGAAGCTTGGCCCTGGGCTTGTGTTTCCCCTTTGCCCGCCCTGACATCAGCCCGGCCTGGAGATCAGGGCTTGGACGGAGGCTGCAGACACTGTGCCCCCAGGGGAACAAGCATGTGCTCGGGGAAGTGTGGTGCTTCTCCTGGGGGCTCCCTCCTACCAAGCCCCCTTAGGAGTTTGGGAACTCTTGAGGGTGGGCCTCGACCTCTAGCTCTGGTCTCACTGGGGTCTGCACAGAGATAGGCCCTTCTGGACCGAGTGATGAGGGGAGCCCTGGTGAAGACGGAGGGAGCACCTAGACATAGATGGGGCCTTTGACAAGGAGGCTGGGGCAGGGCTGGACCTCTCTGCACGTGAGCTGTGGGGGACGGGAGGGGTGGTCGGCTTTCCAGGGTCTGGGAGCTCCCCCCACTGCCCCAGCCCCTCAACTCTGACTGCTACAGCAGAATGGGTGGTCAGGGGCTCAGGCTGTCCTTGGAGCAGTCTGGGTGCTGACGGTGGGTGGGTGTTCACGGCTCTCGTGCCCGGGGAGCACCACCTTCGTGTTCTGGGCTCCCTCAGCTCCCCATCCTCCCCCGGGCCTTGCCTCTCCTTGAGCCTTGTTCCCTACGGCCCTCTCTGGCATCCAGGCTCTCCTCCTCCCTCTCCTTTTTGCTCCCTGAGGCTCCGAGAGGCCTGGTACCCGCTTTCGGCTGGTAGGCCCCCTGTGTGGGCTCACAGGGTCACGTGGGTGTGGAACCTGGTGCTCAGAGGCAGGTGGAGGCTGGGGGACAGCCCGCCTGGCTTGAGGGCCGGGTCCAGGGCCTTGTCCGTCTTTGACCCACACTGTCCACAGGCTGAAGTCCTCTGCAGAGGGTGGCCTAGAGGCCTCGTGGGGGAAGGGCTTTGTGGCCAAAGCCTCTGTCCATTCCTCCCACAGGGGTGCTGACCTCCTGGCCGTCAACACCGATGGGAACATGCCTTATGACCTCTGTGAGGACGAGCAGACGCTGGACTGCCTTGAGACGGCCATGGCCAACCGTGGTGAGTGTGACCCCCCTTGTCCACCCGGGACGCCCAGAGTGCCGGCGCTGAGCTCGCCGCCTTTTAGGCATCACCCAGGACAGCATCGAGGGGGCCCGGGCCCTGCCCGAGCTGCGCATGCTGGAGGACATCCGCGGCCTGCTGCGGGCGGGAGCCGACATCGATGACCCCCAGGACCACGGGGCCACGCTGGTGAGCGCGAGGTGGGGCTAGGGGGCGGCGGCTGCCGTGGGGCTTGGCAGGGACACAGGCTCCGGCTCTTCGCCTGCAGCTGCACGTTGCGGCCGCCAGTGGGTTCGGCGAGGCAGCCGTCCTGCTGCTGGAGCACCGGGCCAGTCCGCGCGCCAGGGACCAGGACGGCTGGGAGCCGCTGCACGCCGCAGCCTACTGGGGCCAGGTGAGTGCGGCAGGGGTGGCCAGCTCGGCCGCAGGGGCGCGTGGGGTCCCGGCTCCTGGCTCGGGGCCCTTCAGCAGCCCCGGCTCGCTGGCCCTCAGGTGCACCTGGCGGAGCTGCTGGTGGCGCACGGGGCCGATCTGAATGGGAAGTCTCTGGCGGACGAGACGCCTCTCGGTAAGCCGGGGCGCCTCTGCCAGTGTAGGGCTGGGTGGGAGGGCCCCGGTGACCCTCCACCCGCCTCTCCTAGACGTGTGCGGGGACGAGGCGGTGCGGACCAGGCTGCTGGAGCTGAAGCACAGGCAGGACGCACTGCTGCACGCCCAGGGCCGCCGGCACTCTCTGCCGCGGCGCCGCACCTCGAGCGCGGGCAGCCGGGGGTGAGCGCCCCGTTCCAGCCCCCTCCCGCCCCCGCCCGGCCTTCACCCCGCTGCCGGCAGCCTCCCCCCACCCTGCCCTTGCCGTCCCCCAGGAAGGTGGTGAGGAGGGTGAGCCTGACCCAGCGGACCAGCCTGTACCGCAGGGAGCATGCCCAGGAGGCCATTGTGTGGCAACAGCCACCGCCCACCAGCCCGGAGCCACCCGAGGAGGACGAGGTTGGCCGGACGGACGTGGAGCTACGCTCCGGGCCTAGCGAGGTGAGCCCACGGCGTCAGCCTGCGGACCGGTAGCTGCGGGCCTGGGTGCTCCCCTCCGTGTGCGGAGCAGGCATGTGAGCTGACGTCGGTGCACGTTTCTCCCACCACACCCGCGCGAGGGGTCGGTGGGACCAGTGACCCTGGGCCCACACAGCGGGCCGGTGCTGCATGGGCGTGGCTGCTGCCCCGGGCGGCCATGCAGCCTGGAGCCCGAGGCCCAGGGAGGCCAGAGAAGGCCCCTGAGGCCCGCGCTCCCCCAGCAGGAGGACGATCCCGAGTCGGCCAGGCCGCACAACGGCCGAGTCGGAGGCACCCCAGGGCGGCACCTGTATTCCAAGCGGCTGGACCGGAGCGTCTCCTACCAGCTGAGCCCCCTGGACAGCTGTGTCCCCGATGCCCTGGGCCGGGTCAAGGCCCAGCACACGCTCGCGGAGCTGAAGCGCCAGCGAGCCGCCGCTAAGCTGCAGCGTCCCCCGCCTGAGGGGCCCGAGGGGCCCGAGCCCAGCCCGCCGGCCGCCGCTGCTACGAGCCCCCAGCCGGAACACAGCCCCAGGGCCGGTGGAGACCCGCCACTGCTGAAGCTCACCGCGCCCTCGGAGGAGGCCCCCGCGGAGAGGAGGCCCTGCTGCCTGCTCATGTGAGGGGCTGGCACCCGGAGTCCCCCGGAGGCTGCCGCGGAGGACCCTGCTCTGGGGACCCCAGTGTACGCCCTGCTGCTGCTGCTGCTGCTGCTGCTGGGAGAGAGCTGGCGCGGGACCTCCCTCAGCTCCCCTCCCGGGGATGCCAGCGTCCTGGCTCAGAGATGAGCCTCTGGCAGAAGCCCTCCTGGGGGGCCGTCCGGCTGCAGAGACCTAGTTCCATCGTGTGCCTCTTGATAAAGGGCTATTCTGCCACCTGCCTTGTTGTGTGTGTCAGCGTGGCCGCTGTCCTGAGGGTGGGGCGCGGAGGTGCTGCTGCTGGGTGTGCCGGTCCCTGTGGGGCCTGTACGGGCTTGCTCGGGGCTGCCTGGCCCTGCGTAGGAGTGAGGCTCACGGCCGCTGGGCGGGAAGCCTGGCCTGGACTGTGCCCTGCCTCCCTGCCTTCCCAGCCTCTTGGAGACTCCTCTGTAACTCTTTCCTTTCCTGAGAGGAGCGGGGAGCTGCGGAAGGACATTCCTTGGGGCTCAGGGCTGGGGGTATCCATGGCAGAGGAGCAGGGAGCCTGGCGTGGAAGGGGAGGGGCCTTCCCACAAGACTTTCAAGCCAGAGGGGAGAGTCCGTATGAAGGCTGGAGTCAGAAACCTCCCTGGGGGATGAGTCCCCCCGCTTCTGGCACATAGCCCTGATCCCGGGGCCTGGCTGCCAGGCTCCGCCTGGGCTGGCAAAGGGGACCAGAGGTTGGCCGCCCAGATCCTGAGCTGGCTAGGCACAATGTGTCAGGGTGACAGGGGCCCCTTAGGGGCCTCAGGTGGGAGGGCCGAGGGTGCTGTTAGCTTGCGTGTCAGTGGTGGGCAGCCCTGCGTGGCCGCCAGTGCCGGGTCACCTTCTCGCCCATGGGACGGGTCAGCCCCGTGTGTGCAGGGCTCATCCTTCCCGGAGCATCACTGCTTGGCGGGGTGTCCTCAGCAGAGCTGGGGAGCCGGGGCCTAGGCTGCAGGTTAAACTGGGTGTGGGGGGCAGCGCAGCTTCCAGTGGCCACTGCAGTCAGCTGCCAGCGCTGGGCGGGGCCGCCTCTGCCCGGGGCTGGGGTCCTGTTAGCCTGTGCTCTGCTCTGAGGGCCCAGGGGGTAGGGGTAGGGGTAGGCAAAATGGCCCAGAGCTGAGAGGTGCGAGGGGAGACTGAGGCTGGCTGCCTGGGGCTCCTGCTCTTTCCTTGCTGGCCAGCAAGGGCAGAGGAGCCCAGGCTGGCGTCAGGCTCGGCCAGCTGCCCATGGCCTCTCTCAGAGGGCTGGCTCCTTGACCTTCGCTCCGAATCAGGTGTCTGCAGCTGGGGTAGCCACCCCTGGGCATGGCCTGTCCACGCCCTTCAGGGCCTGGGGAGGTGGGGCCCTGATGGCCTATCACAGCTTGCTTCCCACTATCTCTGCCAATCAGGAGCAACAGGGAGGGGGAGCTTAGGTCCCCCTGCCTTTGGTGTGGCCCAAGGGCAGCTCCGGGTTGGGGCATGCTGAAAGGGCACAACGGCAGCCCGGAGGAGCCCAGTGTCCGAGGGCCCAGAGCCGCCCTACCCTGTCGCCCAGCATCCCAACCCAGAGACTCTGGCCTCCACCAACTGCTGATCTGGGACCAAGGTCCAACCCCAGGGCTCGTGGAGCCTGCGGGCCATGGTTGCCAGCCCAGGAGGGGCCAGCCAGATGGAAGCCCAAATCTGAGCTTCCGCTCCCCTCCCCCAGTAACGCCAGGATTCTATAGAGGCCTGACTCAGTTACCTGGGAGACAGGCTTGCTGGCCCAAGCAAAGATGGGGGGCCTGAGAGGGCTAGGACTTGGCAGAGCCCTGCTGGGGTAAATCTCCAGGGTCCCAGCTCCATTTCCCCTGGGGGTTTAGCTCTGCCCAGCTCTGCCAACCCATCTGGGCACTTAGCACACCTCCCCTCCCCCAGGCCCAGTCCCACAGAGCTTCTTGAACCTTCTGTCTGTCCCTACCCCCCATGTAGGTCTCCTGCTCCCCTGTCATGGGGACACTGGGCGGGCACTGGGCCTCGCCCCAAGCCCCGCCTACCTCCTCATGCACTCCCTATGGCTCCCTGGGGCAGAACTGTGCCCAGACGGGTGGGGCGGGGCCCAGCGGCCCCGACTTCTTCTTCAGCCTTTTCTGTCCCTTTCAGTGGGGCCAGCAGGCCGCCGCGAAGAGGGCGCCCTTCACTTTGAGCCCCTCTACACGGGCTCCCTCTTCCCAGCCCCGGCCCATCGAGTCTGGACCCAGCCTCCTTTTCCCCCGCCCGAATCCTGCTGTGTCCTGACCTTCCTGCCTGGTCTGAGTAGGGTCATGGCCTTGAGGGCAGGTGACCACAGCCAGGTTGCGATGAACGGGCTGAAGGAGAAGGTGCTGACGCTGGACACCATGAACCCGTGTGTTCGGAGGGTGGAGTACGCAGTGCGCGGGCCCATTGTGCTGCGCGCCCTTGAGCTGGAGCAGGAACTGCGCCAGGTATGGCCCTGGGCCCCACCACTGCCCTCCAGGCTGCACCTGGACAGCTGCATCAGGCCCATTCCCACAGTCACACAGGACGAGGACCTGTCCTGTCCTCACCCCTGTGCCCTTTCCCTCCCAGGGGGTAAAGAAGCCCTTCACTGAGGTCATCCGCGCCAACATCGGGGACGCGCAGGCCATGGGGCAGAAGCCCATCACCTTCCTGCGTCAGGTGAGGCTCAGTGTTTGCCCTGGTGCCCCTCCCCAACCCACCCACGTGCTCGGGCTCAGTGTCTGCTGCTCCCAGGTCCTGGCCCTCTGTGTGCACCCCGATCTCCTGAACAGCCCCGACTTCCCTGAGGACGCCAAGAGGAGGGCTGAGCGCATCTTGCAGGCATGTGGGGGACACAGCCTGGGTAAGTGCCAGTGCCCAAACTGGGCAAAGCCCCAGGGAGGAGCGGGAGCTGGTGGGAGGCCATCCCAGGGGAGGGGTGGACCCGACTGCTGGGAGATACTCCCGAGGATGGCTAAGGAGCCTCTCGGGTCCTCTTCTCCCCGTCCTGCCCCGCCCTCCGGCCCAGGGGCCTACAGTGTCAGCTCGGGTATCCAGCTGATCCGGGAGGACGTCGCCCGGTACATTGAGCTGCGCGACGGAGGCATTCCCGCAGACCCCAACAACATCTTCCTGTCCACTGGGGCCAGCGACGCCATTGTGGTAGGCCAGGGCCAGGGCAGGAAGACACCGTGGCTCTTTTCTTGCGGCTTGGGCGGACCTTTCTCCTCCTGGCACAGTGCTCCTGGGCTGGGCGGGGAGCAGGTGCCGTTCCCATGGGCCCCACCAACCCGGCTTCCCCATCCCGCCAACAGACGGTGCTGAAGTTGCTGGTGGCGGGAGAGGGTCCCACCCGCACAGGCGTGCTCATCCCCATCCCACAGTACCCGCTGTACTCCGCGGCGCTGGCTGAGCTCAATGCTGTGCAGGTGGACTACTACTTGGACGAGGAGCGCGCTTGGGCCCTCGACGTGGCCGAGCTGCGGCGCGCCCTGTGCCAGGCGCGTGGCCACTGCTGCGCACGTGCACTCTGCATTATCAACCCCGGCAACCCCACTGGTGCGCTGCTCGACCCCCCCCCCCCCCCTGTCCCCCCCCCCCGGGGGCCGCCCCCCCCCCCCCCCCCCCCCTCCCCCCCCCCCCCGGGGGCCGGCCCCCCCCCCCCCCCCCCCGCAGAGCCCCAGTCTGACCCTGGACATGGTGCATCCCCTGCGCCCTAGGACAAGTGCAAGCCCGCGAGTGCATCGAGGCCGTGATTCGCTTTGCCTTTGAGGAGCGCCTCTTCCTGATGGCTGATGAGGTGTGGGCAGGGGCTCGCCTGGGGCTTGGGGTTGCAGGGCCCGGGTGACAGCACCCTCCTCCCCAGTGACGCTGGTCCGCCCTTCCAGGTGTACCAGGACAATGTGTATGCGGAGGGTTCGCAGTTCCACTCGTTCAAGAAGGTGCTCATGGAGATGGGGCCGCCGTACGCGACACAGCAGGAGCTCGCCTCCTTCCATTCGGTCTCCAAGGGCTACATGGGCGAGTGCGTGCAGGCTGGGTGGGGTCACAAGGACTGCACCCTGGCTTGGGTCCCCTCCCTGGCCCCGCCCTGACACCTGCGCTCTGGGCCACAGGTGCGGGTTCCGTGGCGGCTATGTGGAGGTTGTGAACATGGACCCTGCGGTGCAGCAGCAGATGCAGAAGCTGATGAGCGTGCGGCTGTGCCCGCCGGTGCCGGGCCAGGCCCTGCTCCACATGGTGGTCAGCCCACCCGCGCCCTCTGACCCCTCCTTCGCGCAGTTCCAGGCGGTGAGCGGGAGGGTCGGGGAGGGGGTGCGATCGCGCCACGCTGGCCGCCCCCGGGTCTGATCAGCTCACCCTTCTCGGCCACAGGAGAGGCAGGCGGTGCTGGCCGAGCTGGCGGCAAAGGCAAAGCTCACGGAGCAGGTCTTCAACGAGGCCCCTGGAGTCCGCTGTAACCCGGTGCAGGGCGCCATGTACGCCTTCCCTCGCGTGCAGCTGCCCCCACGCGCCGTGCAGCGTGCTCAGGTGTGGCCCGACTGGCGGCTGGCCTGGGGCTTGGGGGCGCAGGTGGGACCCACCAACCAGCGCTGAGTCTGAGCGCCCGGCCCTGTCCATCTGCCCCCAGGAGCTGGGCCTGGCTCCCGACATGTTCTTCTGCATGCGCCTTCTGGAGGAGACCGGCATCTGCGTGGTGCCCGGGAGTGGCTTTGGGCAGCGGGAAGGCACCTACCACTTCCGGTGAGGCCCAGCCCCGCATGGCTCAGCCCAGTCGCCCCCAGCACCTTCACTTACCCCCCTCACCCTTTTAGGATGACCATTCTGCCCCCCATGGAGAAGCTGCGGCCTTTGCTGGAGAAGCTGAGCCAGTTCCACGCCAAGTTCACCCGAGAATACTCCTGAGCCCCGCCCCCGTTAGGGGCCAGGCTGGGCCGGCCCTGGACTACCATGGCCAGGGCCCTCCCTGGGGGTCTCTGGAGCCCTCTGGACTTGCTCCTGCTACCTGTGGGGCTGGGCCCCTGCCTTTCTGCAGACCCTTAATAAAGCTGAAGCAGCCTGACTACCTGGAGGCCGGCTGTGTGCACACCTGTAGAGCCGCCCCTGCCTCTGTCCACTGCTGATGTCCTGTCTGAGCTGGGGTTCTGTGGGGCTTGGAGACCCAGCCCCAGGCAGGACATCTGTCAGCCTTGAGGAGGAGTGGTCAAGGAGGGCTCCCAGAGGAGGGAGGCACAGTGTCCCTTACTGCAGACGTGGTGTCCCGCACGGGCTGGGTCTCTTCGTGGCCTCTGGTCTTGAGGCAGACACGGCAGACTTCGCGTAAAAGTGAGGAGGAGTGAAGGTGTGAAGGAAGGCAGCAGGGTAGGCACGAAGCCGGACGAAGAAACCCGGGAGCTGAGTCCCAGGGGTGGCCACATCTGGAAACGTAGCCTAAGGAAGACGGCCCGGCCGCGCCCTCCTGTATCGCCCACCTGTCCCCTGGCAGGCAGCACAGAGCGCACACTGAGCTGTAAGACGGAGCGGGCGGGCTGGGTGAGCGGCAGGAAACGGAGTCCCAGTGAGGACTCAAGGAGGAAGCCTTGGTTCCCCTCCTGAACCAGCAGGTGGCGAGGCGCTGCGGCCCGAGGCTGCTGGAGGAGCCAAGGTGGGGGTGGGGAGAACGAACACATAGGTCTTGCTTTGTTTGTATTGGGTTTGGAGTATGTGACATCCTAGTGCAAACACAGCCCTTGGGCTGGGAGGCAGCGAGGGGGGCCTCCCACGCTGGAGCACCCAAGGGCAGGTGCCGGGGGAAGGGCTGTAAAATGCTGACGCACAGGCACCCCGGGGAGGCCCAGACTGGGGGTGGGTGTGCAGCCCTATGTCCTGGCCCCGGGAGCAGAGATGGCGCTTACTGTGTGCATGACAGGCACGGTTGTGGGTCGCTGCCATCTTGGGGAGGGACGCTAGTCCTCATTTTACAGATGAGGAAGCTTGTCGAAGTGACAGGAGACCCACTCCAGGTGGCTTCACCAGCTGTTCCTCTAGGGGTTGGGTCAGCTTCAGGGGGTTCAGAGACGGAACGAAGGCTCTAGCTCTGTCCGCTCCGCTCCAGAGGTGGTTCTTTTTTTTTTTTTTTTTTTTAAGATTTTATTTATTTATTTGTCAGAGAGAGAGGGAGAGAGAGCGAGCACAGGCAGACAGAATGGCAGGCAGAGGCAGAGGGAGAAGCAGGCTCCCTGCCGAGCAAGAAGCCCGATGTGGGACTCCATCCCAGGACGCTGGGATCACGACCTGAGCCAAAGGCAGCTGCTTAACCAACTGAGCCACCCAGGCGTCCCCGGAGGTGGTTCTTATCCACAGGCTGTACTCACTTCCTCCTCTGGGCCTCGGGAGTCCTGTGGGTGCCCTGTGAGCAGGAGGGACCACGCGAGACCCCCTGTGTTTGGCTGCTCTGGGGACGTACCTCTCCCCTCCACCAAGCCAGCACCAGGGAGGCAGGGCCTGGGTGGGCCTCTCCTGGCCTGGTCACCGACCCTGGAGGGCGTCTCCGGCAGCAGCTGGCTGCAACGCCCCTGCTGAGACCTTTCGTGGCCCCGGGCGTAAGCAGTAGTGGGTCACGGGCGCTTAAGAGGCCGACTCCTCCCTGGGCACTGCTGGAAGGACCCGGTGGGCACTGCAGCACCCAGGCTGCAGGTGAGACATCACGGAAGCACTTGTGGGAATTCAGGGTGTGGGTCCGGGGGGTCTGGGAGCCGGACCTCATCATACCCTTGGGGGAGGGGCCAAGGTGGGCCGCCGGCTCAACGCCAGGTAGGCGAGTGGCCGCCCGGCCCGCGGCTCCCGGGCCGCACCCATGTTGGCCACTGGGGGCGCCCGAGGGCGGGCGGCGCTCTGGCCCGCTCGCGCGCTCAGTGTCCGCGCCTTGCGCGCCTGCGTAGTGCGCACGCCTCAGGACCCGCGGGTGACCGCCTGTCCCAGCGTGAGCTGACCGGTCCCGCTCGAGCCATGCAGTCGTGTGACCCCTGACCGGCCCAGACCCCCCTCCGGAACCGCTCTGCCCCGGCGCCAGGTTTTGGTCCGGCCTTGAACCCATCCCCGGTCCCCGCCCGATCCCGGGCCGGGCCCCCGCCCCCCAGCACTAGACCCCGGGCGCCCCGCTCTTCTGGCCATGCGGCGGAAGCTGCTGCCGCTGGGCGGCCTCTACCTGGTGCAAGGCCTGCCCTACGGGCTGCAGTCTGGCCTGCTCCCCGTGCTGCTGCGGGCGCGAGGCCTTTCCCTGACGCGCGTGGGACTGGCCAAGGTGCTGTACCTGCCCTGGCTGTTTAAACTCGTGTGGGCCCCCCTGGTGGACACGCGGGGCTCCCTGAGGGCCTGGCTGATGCTCAGCACGGCTGCGCTGGGCCTGGTGTGCGGGCTGCTGGCCGCCCTGCCACCCGCGGAAGCCGGCCGTGCTGGGCTGCCGGTCACTGTGGCCGGGCTGCTGCTGTTGCTGAACCTGGGTGCGGCTGTGCAGGATGTGGCCCTGGACACGCTGGCCGTCCAGCTCTTGGAGCCAGCCGAGCTGGGGCCCGGTAACACAGTGCAGGTGGTCGCTTACAAGCTGGGGTCAGTGTTGGCAGGAGGGGGCCTGTTGGCCCTGGTACCCACGCTCTCCTGGCCCCTGCTCTTCCTGCTCCTGGCCGCTACCTATTGGTTGGCTGCTGCCCTCGTCTGGGCGGCGCCGGCCCTGCAACAACTGCCTGCGTCCGGGCCGTCGGAACCACCCCTCCGCAGCCTGCACCTTCTGCGGGACCTGCTGGCCATGCCCGGTACTCTGTGGACGGCAGGCTTCGTGCTCACTTACAAACTGGGTAAGTGAGGCCGTGAGTCAGGCAGCAGCAGGGTGGGAGCCTGGGGGACCTCCGGCGGGTCTCCAGGAGCCCTGGAATCCATTTGGTGGTCACCTTCGGTGGGGGTGTTAGCATAGCAGGCTGGAGTTCAGCCTGGTTCTCCAGCTCTTGCTGCACGGCTCCCGTGAGCTCCAGCCACAACGCCTCGGGTCTCTGATGCCGCCTTATGCTGACCCTAAGCTTGCCTGATGCCCAGCCCCAGCTATCTCCAGGCACCTGGGGCCCAGGACGGAGGCAGTGCCCAGCTAGGGGCGTGCCTCTAAAGGCCCCAGGGTGAAGGGAGCTGGGAGCCCCTGCTCACATTCTCCCCACAGGTGAGCAGGGTGCTAGCAGTTTGTTTCCGCTCTTCCTGCTGGACCACGGCATCTCCACTCCAGAGCTGGGGCTGTGGAACGGTGTGGGCGCCGTGGTCTGCTCCATTGTAGGCTCGTCCCTGGGCGGGGTCTTGCTGGCCAGGCACAGGTGAGCCCTCCCCAGCCTGGCTCACTCAACCTGCACCCACCCGACCTGTGCCCAACTCCCTGACCTGCCGCCCCCCATCTCCCCACCTCAGGCAACCGCTGCACCTGCTCAGGTCAGTGCTTTGGTTCCGTCTCGGGGGTCTGGCCTGCCAGACCACCCTGCTCTTCCACCTGGACACCCCAGGGGTCAGGTTGGGCCCCAGCACCGTCCTGAGAGGTGAGGGGCTGGCTGCGGGAGGGGAGGGGTCCTGTGTCCTGGGGCCCGCTGAACTTGGCCCTCCCAGGGGCAGCCCTGCTGAGCCTGTGTCTGCAGCACCTCCTGGGGGGCCTGGTCACAACCACCACATTCACCCTGATGATGCAGTGCAGCCAGCTGGCGCCCCGGGCCCTGCAGGTAGGGGGGCTGCAGCGGGGATGTGCAGGGGGGCTGCAGGGCTGGCTGGGATCCAAGTGACCCCTCGCCCGACCTCCTGCCCCGTCCCTCCTCGTCCCCGCAGGCCACACACTATGGCCTCCTGGCCACGCTGGAGCTGCTGGGGAAGCTGTTCCTGGGCGCGCTGGCTGGAGCCCTGGCAGACAGCCTGGGGCTGCCTCTCTGCTTTGCCCTCTTCCTGGCTCTCTCAGGCATGCCCGTGCTGTACTTGAGCCTGGCCCCGGGCAGCCTGGCCTGAGCTGGGTGCCCAGCGGCCTAATAAAGCTGGGTGTGCCCGTGGCCTGGCTAGCTAGGCTGTGACACGGGCAAGGCTGTCCTCAGAAAAGAGTTACTAAGAGTGACTTGAGCATTTTTTATTCTGCATTTTGGGGCCTCCTTGCCCCTGCACTTCTGATGGTGGGTTTTCCCCAGGGTAGTCATTGTCGTGGCCACCAAGGTCCCTTTCCCCTGACGCACAGCCACACCTGACCCCCTCCACACTGTGGCCAGGCCACAGGCTGTGCAGGCGTCTGAGGTGGGGGAGCGGGGCCGGCCCATAGCATGGTGGTCAGCGGCCCCAGCGCAGGATCTCCTCTGTGGCCAAGCGCATCAGGGCGGGGAAGCTCAGGCACAGGTGTCTCCTCCAGAAGCGCCGGTCCCGCCCATACACCTGCGCTGGGAAGCGGGGGCTTCCTGCCAGGGTACAACGGGGCGCAGTGCCCTGAGGCCTCTGGGCCAGGCCCCACCCCCACCCACGTCAGAGCCCAGCCTCCCAGGCCCTCACCGATGCCGTGGAAGATGCGGGCCACAGCCCTGCCTGAGAACTGCTGCTCTGGCCACGAGGACAGAAGGTGGCGCACGTCCCGGCGAACCTGGTCCTCCCAGTCCTGGATCTGTGGAGGGCGGGGACGTGAGGCCACTTCCACGGCGCCAGGTTCCACACAGCCCACCGCGGTGCAGGCCAGGAGGCGGAGTGTGCGTGTGTGTAGGCCTGCGCGCGCTGGCGGAGCTCACTGCAGGCCAGGAGGCGCTAGCTCTCACCCCTGCCTGTCCTGGCTCCGGGTCCTGATTGTCTTCCGGGTCCCCGGGACCCTCTTCCTTGAAGTAGCAGCTGAGCAGGGCCTTGAGCCTGGCGCTGCGCTCTTCACTGGGCTGCTCCAAGCAGGGCCCGCAGCTGGGGAAGGCCACGCTGGGGCGAGAGGAATCTGTCAGAGCTGCCCCCCTGCGGGGCGGGGTGGAGGTGGCCCCGGGCCCATCCACCCCTCCTGCACCTGTGAAAGGCCCAGAAGGTGCGGCGCAGGCCGGCCAGGGCCTCCCGCTCTCGGGCTTGTATGTGGCCGTACAGGAAGTCACAGATCCGGTCCCTCTCGGGGGCTGTCAGGTCTCCAGGACTGCGCAGACAGAAGGCGAGCTCTCGGAACTCCACCTGCACCCCCGTGCCCCGGCGCGCACCTGCCAGAGAGCTCATCACGCGCGGGCACGCGGGCGGCAGGCAGGTCCGGGCCGCGCGGGCGGGGGGAGGGCGCACCTGTCGTGGGCTCGGGCTCCCACTGCAGCTGGAGCAGAGCCCGCTGTGCTGACGCCAGGTTCCAGCCCGCCGAGTCCGCCAGCTTCACAACGTCAAACTCTACAGAACAGCCTCCCCCACCTGTGTTCTCCGGCGGCTGCTGGGCCAAGCATACAGCCAGGAGGGGACACCTGTCCCAGGATGAGGGACACGTAATTAGCCATCCTGGCTCCGTGTCTTCGGCCCCAGCCTGGGCCAGGACGTGTGCTCACCTGTGGGCCAGGGCCAGGAGCTGGGGGGCACCCCCAGGGCAGCGCAGGTGGCACCGGGCGTAGGTGGGTGCCAGCAGCTCCAGCCAACATCGTGGGTGTAGCTCCAAGTAGCACAGCAGGGTCTCAATGGCTGGGGTGGGGCACGTACAGCAGGGCTCAGGGACATGGGCACGTGGGGACGCAGGTGTGTGGGGACGCGCCCACCGCCGTCCCCAGTTCCTCACCTTCCTCGGGCATGTCCAGGGCCTGCACCAGCGGCTGCACCGGAAGTGCCCGCTGGTGGCCTGGGCACCGGGCTGCCCGCTGGCCGCTGGGCTGCTCAGCCTCCCGCAGGGACCCGGCCACAGCCGTCTTCTGGCTTCTGGCTCCGTCCTTCTCTGGAGGCCGTTGGGCTTGGGCACAGGTGCAGGGGGGGAACGCGCACTGGACCAGTTTCTTCACGGCGAGAAAGTCGGCTGCGCCGGCGTGCACGTGTCTCCGCAGCTCCTGCAGGTCCTGGCCCTGTGGCACGGCAGCTGTGACTGTGTGGCGTGGGGGGGGGGGGCTGCGGGGGGGCTCAAGGGGGCTCGGGGGCTCAAGGGGGCAAGCAAGAACCTGGGGTTGCAGGAAGAGGTGGCAGTGCGCAGGCCGGCCGTCACGCCCAGCCCGGCCCACAGCCTGCACGTAGGTCTCCAAGCTCGCGGGCAGCCCCAGGTGCAGCACAGCCCGCACGTCGGGCCGGTCCAGCCCCATCCCAAAGGCCACCGTGGCCACCACCACCCGCAGCCGGCCGTCCATGAAGGCCTGCTGCACCTGCCGCCGCTCCCGGTGACACATGCCGGCATGGTAGGCTTTGGCTACGGCCTCAGGGACCTGGCCTGCAGGGAAGACACAGACGGTCGGGCGCACTGTGTCTCTGGGGCGGGTCCGTGGGGCACAAGCCTGCCGACCTCACCTCTGGGCCCCAGGTCCCGGGACGCGTGCAGGCAGGTGCGGAGCCGTGCGGCAACACGCTCTGTGTCCTCGCGTCTGTTGCAGTAGATGATGATGGAGCTCAGAGCACGAAAGCGGTCACTCTGCAGCAATGTCACCAAAGCCTGGTGGGTGACAGCGGTCAGTGGGGGCTGTCGGAGGCCGTGCCTCTGGTGGGCCCAGGTGTGTCCACCTACCTGCTCTGGGTCCCTGTCCATGGACACAGAGAGGTACAGGTTGGCAGGGACGGTGACTGGCTCACTGAGGACAAGCTCCTCGGCCACGCCTAGATGCTGGGCCACATCTCTTGAGGTGCTGCGTGTGGCCGTGGCCGTGAGACCCAGGAAGCAGCGCACACCCAGGTGTTCCCGCAGCACCTGTGTGGGAGCAGAGCCGGTAAGGGTGCCCAAGCCATCCTCCCTGGCCTGCTCCCTCGTACCCCGACTCAGGCTCACCTTGCAGACACGCAGGTAGCAGGGCCGGAAGTTGTGGGACCACTGGGAAAGGCAGTGGGCCTCATCGACACAGGCAAAAGCGACCGGAGGCAGCTGAGGGAGGCAGCCAGAGGTCCCCAGCCCAGCCCCAACCAGCGCCTCGGGTGACAGCATCAGCACGTGCACCTGCGCCGCCTGAACCTGAGAGTGCAAGGTCAGGAGCGTCATGGAAGGGCTGGTCTGGTCCCCTGCCCGTCTTGCCGCGCGAGGCCCCTCACCTTCTTCAGGGCAGACTCGCGCTGCTTCCTGGTCATGCCTGAATGGATGCAGGCCACCTTCAGGCACTGGGGCAGGCCGGACACCTGCAGGGTCAGGAGAGCAACCAGTGACAAGCCACCCTCCTCGGTTCTCCCTCCAGTGGCTCTCCGAGCTGCTCGGCTTGACGGCAGCCGCCATCTCTGCTTTGGGCTCTCTGGGGAGAGAAAGCCCAGACGGCGGAGCCCACGGGACTGAGGGTCAGGGCTGCCCGTGAGCCTTGGCTCAGAAGCGCCAGGAACAGACGGGCCCTAAGGGGACGCCCACCTTCCCCAGCGCTGCTGCTCCTGGGGGTCGAGTCATGTCAGCCCAGCTGCCAGGTCCCTGCCGCCCTCGGGCCACTACTAGGCCTGGGGCTGTGGACAAGCTGGCGGGCTGAGAACAGCGGAGCTCCTTACAGCCCTGACTAGGTACAAGCAGCAGCCCAAAGGAGCCAGCGGACCTGTGGGCACCAGTTCCTGCCTTCTGTGTGGGGCCCAAGGGTCCTGCCAGAGCACCTGGTCATCCATGAGAGACAGGAGAGGAGAGACGACCAGTGTGAGGCAGGGGCTCCGCTGGGCGTAGAGCAGCGCGGGAAGCTGATAGCACAGGGACTTGCCGGCACCAGTGGGCGACACCAGCAGCGTGGACATGCCTGGTGGGACCAACGGTCAGTAGTGCCGCCCTGGGGCCAGGCCTTGGTCCCGACCCGTCCTCACAGCAGCCAAGCTCACCAGAAAGGATCTGCATGATCACACGCTCCTGCCCAGGGCGGAAGGCTTGGTGCCCCAGCTGCTCTAGGGCCTGGAACACTTCAGCCGGTGTCTCTGTGGACACAGGTGTTGGTCAGGAGGGCCCCTAGTTGCCCCCATCTCCCAGTAAAGGCTCTGCGCCGGTCGGCTTCTGCTCACCTGCCACTTGTCCCGAGGGCCCAGGTGGGTAGAGTGGTGGCACGGGGTGGTGCTGGCAGTGTGCCTGGGGCACAGGCTGCTCCACAGTCACCAGCAGCTCAGGCCCAGCAGGCTCCGTGTCTATCTCACTCACTAGGATCAGACACAAAAAGGTGGTGTGGGAACTCTAGGCTAGACTAGAGTCTTCCTGGAAAAAACACAAGTGGCCACAGCCCGCCTTCTTCCTTCATTCACCAGGTTGCTGGCAGCCGGCAGTGCCTGTCCTCTGCACTGCTTCGTCCGCGGCGAGCCGGGTCTGCACATTGTCTTCATTCTCACCGCTCTTCTGGGGACCCGGAGCAGGCTCTGTGTCAGGTACAAGGAGCTGCTAGCTTCTTCTGTTGGAGGTAGGTGTGCTCCCCTGCCCCCCGATCCCCCCCAAGAGTACCACTGTCATCTGAACAGTGTTAGTGCAACCCCTCACCCAGAGTAGAAGTTTCACTTGACTGGGGGCACTGGGATGACCAGTGGCCTAGCTGCCCACACTGGAAGCAAGAATTCTTGACTGTGGCTCTGGGCTGACCACCTCCAAAACACTCCCTCTTCTTCTGCCACTTCTGCTTCCGCATCTGGGGCCACAAAAAACGGTCACATGGTGAAAGGCAATAAGGATGAAGGGAGTGGCCGCCAGCACCTCACCTGCTGTCGGAGCAGCCTGCCGCGGAGCGCCGGGCCCCGAACGTAGCGTTTCTGCTTCATGGTGAGCCGCACGTAATTACCTCCGCTCTGGACAGCTGGCCTAGGAAGGAGGTACGAACAGGCCATGGCCAAAGCCTGCCCCACCCTAGCTTGTCTCAAGGTGACCCTACTGGGAGGCTGAAGCTGTGGTACCTGGGGGCTGTGGGGCCACTGGGGGGCTGTGCCCCCACGGGTTCTCCTGGGCAGGCTTCTGCGTGTTCTGGAGCCCCAGCTTCCTCAGGCAGAGGTCCCGCGTGACCGCTGTCCTGCTGGGCCTGTGCAGGACTCCCTTCTGGTTCCCTATTCCATGTCCACTTCTTGTCTTGACTGTTGCCAGGTTGGGGGCTCTCTGCACGGACTCTGGCTGTCTGTAGGGCTTGAGTCTTAGGGCCAGCGCGGGGACCAAGGACAGGCGGGACACCTGAAGCCAGAGGTTGTGAGTCCTCTACACCCAGGTTAGGCTGGCAGGCCTCAGAAGCCCCCAGGAAATCTGGGGCCCCGTTTTGACACCGTTGTAGCCAGTCAGGGTCTAGAGAGGACAGCCGTAGGCTCAGGGATGCCTGTAGCTGCTGGAGGCAGCCTGGCCTCAGCGGAGGCCCATGAGGCTGGAGGGGGACCTCACTGACTTCTTCTGGAGAGACGGGGGCGGCCCCTGCGCCCGGTGGCCCTGGGGAGGGCGTCTCGGATGAGGGTCTTCGTGGAGGTCGGGGTATGCGGCCCAGGACTGGCCCAGCCTGAGAGGGGAAGGACAGACCAGGAAGCGGGAACTCAGGTGTTTGGGCTGCTTCAGACTCCGAAAGCCGCCAGAATGTCCACCCTGAAGCACCAGTTGAGGTGAGAAGCCGGAGGTCGGCCCTGAGGCAGGAGTCCCACCCTGATTAAGGCTGGAAGGGCACGTGCAACCCCGGGGGTACAGGTGCACACGTTTGGAAGGGTTGAGGAGAAAGGCTCTGCCCGGACCCTGTCGCTGGGTGGAGACTGGCTCCGCATGCAGGAGGGACGCGCTGCCTGGCCGGTGACTCTCACCTGCAGAGTGGCCTTCAGGTTGGCCTTGAGCCTCTTCCCGTAGTCTGGCACAGACCCCACAGCACTTGTCCCACGGGGACGAACGGGTGGACTCTGGGCCGCAGCCCGATTCAAGTGCGGCCCCCAGCAGCTGGGCTCCGGCACCTGCAGGAGAGACGGTGGGCGTCCGGGCCCCCCGAGCCCTGCCCCCTCCCCGGGTCCAGTCCTCCCCCGGGCTCTGCGCCCCCACAGAGGCCTGGTCGCGACTCCTGGCTCTGCCACAGGCGCCCTACCCTGGGTACCTCCTGCGCCGCGGCAGGAAGCGACTGCTCGGGGCTGCGAGGTCCCACGCCGCCGGCCCCGCCCAGGGCCCCCTTCAGGACGCGGTACTCTCGGTAGAGCGCTGGGGGGTGCGGTCAAGGGTCACCAGGTGCCGCGCGGCTCCCTCCCCGCCCGCGCCCTCCCGGCCGCGCTCCCTCCCGCCGCGCTGTCCGCGCGCTCACCGCGGGTCTCCTCCGGCGCCGCCTCCACGTCCTCCTGCGGAGGGAGCGCATCAGCCCGCGGCCGCACCCTCCGCCCCCCGCCCCCCGCCCCCGGGCAGCCCGCACCTGGCCCGGCCGCCGCCCGCACCGCCTCCGGAACGCGCGCTCCCAGTCCCGCAGCCGCTCCCGCACATCCCGCAGCCGCTCCATGGCGCCGGCCTGGCGGCCCCGGGCCCCGCGAATCTCCCGCCTCGAGGGCGACGCCGGCCGCCGGCCAATGGGGGCGCCCGGTAGGGTCGGAGGCGGGGCGGCTCGGCAGCCGCCGCCGGGACAGCCAATCAGGGGGGCCCTGGTGGGGCGGCCAATGGGTGGTGACTACGTCATCGCGGCGCGCGGAGGCGCTGGGCGGGGCGCCGCGGACGGCGAGGCGGGGCGGATGGCGGTGGCAGCGGCAGCGGCTGTGGGGCCGGTGAGCGCGGGGCGCCGGCCGGAGAGGGAGCGGGGCAGCGTGCGCACCCCGGCCCTGCCTGGACGCAGGAAGCGGGCGGGCGCTTGGGGCGGCGCCGCCCGGGAGGCGGGAGCGGGAGCCGGGCGGTTCGTCCGCGGGGTGGGGAAGGACCTGGAGCCCTGCGTCTGGCACAGCGACCTCGGGCCCCGGGGGGCGACGCACCGGCTTCGAGGGGCAGATCGCGTCGGGGAGGCGGAGGGCGTCGCCTCGAGGGTCTCCCGCGGCTCGAGGCCGGGAGGACCCGGGCGGGGGCGTCTTCGGGGAGACGCCGGGAGGCATGGGCCGGGCGGGAGGGGGCGGCGGCCCCTGCACGGAGGCTCCTCCCACGGTGACCACACTGGCTGCTCTCGCTTCCTCTCGTGGCAGGTGCTGGTCGCTCGGTTCTGTCACAGCGAGGTATGAGTCGTCCTCGCGACGTTTGTCTCCAGGCAGCGCAAGGCCGGGGGTTGGCGTTCCGGGAGCCTCCAGAACCAGTGCCCTGAGGACTCGGCGTTGTGCATGAGGTTGGGAAGCGCGGGGCCTCTGGAGCCAGACTGCTCCCCCTGCCCCGGGCTCATCGCCCAGGCTGTGACCTTGGGCTGGCAAGGCGTAGAGCTTGGTTTTCTAATCTGTTCCAGGGGTAGGACCGGGAAGCGGTTTTGAGGATGAGGTGCTTGGCGCGCAGTAAGTCCGCTGAGTGTTGCTGCCGCCGAAGTCAGTAGTAGAGCCGGGGTCCAGGTGCCCCGCAGCCTCAGGCATGTCCTGTGTGCCTGTCGTTAGCCTGGGTGCGCATTCCATGCTGTCTCTACCCGTCTGAGCAGCTCTTGGTCTGGGGCCTACTGAGTCCCATGGGTCTGAGACTGGGTCTCTCACTGTGGATCTCCGGGGGGCGGGGGGCAGAGCGATAAGACAGGTGGCAAGGACCTTGGTGGGTGAGGTTTGCTGTCTGTGGGTCTGTGGGGTCTCCGTGCTTGGCTGTACTACTGGACGGTAGTAGTTAGGACCTGAGGGTCAGGCCTGTCTGGACTCAGCGTTCCCTGGGTGCCAGGCTTTTTTTCCCTTTTGCTAGTGCTTACGAGGCTGCATCAGTGCTTCTCGCTCCTGTCCAAGGACAATCCGCCAGAGCTGGAGGAGAGTGGGGAGGTGAATTGTGATGCGGCTTCCCACCCCCTCGCAGTGTCCTGCCTCCTCCACTGCTTGTGTGGTGGGGGAAGGGCCTGAGCTCTGTTCTCTTTTTGAGGAAGAGAGTGTTTCTGATAAGCCGCTTTGTGACTTGGGAGCCTCAAGTACAAGTCGGGTGGAGGGAGGGCCTGCAGAGCAGTAGCCCTGAAAACCACGCCTAGGCAAGCTGGTCCTTGCCGATGCCGCGCTGTTTATGTACCGTGTGAGGACTGCATTTCCCTAGAGGCCCCATGCTTCTGGAGGGAGGGAACTGGGGGGGTGGCCTTGTTCCCGTTTCCACTTCGCCCACTGCTTAGGCACTTAGCACTTGCTCCTCAGTGCCAAGGTCCTCCACTGAGTGCTGGCGCTGTGCCAAGTGCCATGTTGGGCTTGCCTGCTACCAGTGACGGAAGAGGGCGTGGCTGGGTGGTGGCCTGGGGTCTGTCCTCCCCGCTGAAGGGCCCTTCCCTGCAGGTGGCTTCCTGCCTGGCCCAGCGCGATGCACACGCTTGTGTTCCTGAGCACACGGCAGGTGCTCCAGTGCCAGCCAGCTGCCTGCCAGGCCCTGCCCCTGCTGCCTCGAGAGCTCTTCCCCCTGCTGTTCAAGGTGGCCTTCATGGACAAGAAGACTGTTGTGCTTCGCGAGCTGGTGCACACGTGGCCCTTCCCGCTGCTCAGCTTCCAGCAGCTGTTGCAGGAATGTGCCCACTGCAGCCGAGCCTTGCTGCAGGAACGCCCCAGCACAGAGAGCATGCAGGCTGTGATCCTGGGGCTGACGGCCCGGCTCCACACCCCAGAGACGGAGGCTGGCACACAGCCTCTCTGCAGGTATGAGCTTACCTGAGGGGCCCTCAGGCCCTGGGCTGGGGCGGCGTTGCGGTGGTGGTGCAGAGAGGTCCCCTGTGAGGCTCCAGGTTACTGCAAGAGCTCAGTGCAGTAACAGTCATGTTGCTCCTGTCCCAAGATGGCTGGGAGTGGGTGTGGGCTCTGCTCCCTTGTCTCCTGCTTCAGCCTACCCGTGCTCCCAGGAAGCATGCCCTGCGAGTGCTGGACATGACGGGCCTCCTGGACGACGGTGTGGAGCAGGACCCTGGTACCATGAGCATGTGGGACTGCACAGCAGCGGTGGCCCGCACCTGCATCGCGCAGCAGCAGGGCGGGACTGTGGAGCCTGGGCAGGCCCCCCTTCCTGTGGAGGTTCGTGTGGACCTGCGGGTGAACAGGGCCTCATATGCATTCCTGCGGGAGGCGCTCCGAAGCAGCGTAGGCAGTCCCCTGCGGCTCTGCTGCCGGGACCTGCGGGCTGAGGACCTGCCCATGCGCAACACCGTGGCTTTGCTGCAGCTGCTGGACGCGGGCTGCCTGCGCCGTGTGGACCTGCGCTTTAACAACCTGGGTCTCCGTGGCCTGTCCGTCATCATCCCCCACGTGGCCCGCTTCCAGCACCTGGCCAGCCTGCGCCTGCACTATGTGCACGGGGACTCCAGGCAGCCCTCTGTGGACGGCGAGGACAACTTCCGTTACTTCTTGGCCCAGATGGGCCGCTTCACTTGTCTGCGGGAGCTCAGCATGGGCTCCTCTCTCCTCTCGGGACGGCTGGACCAGCTGCTCAGGTGAGCAGGCCCCACTACCGCCCTGCCCTTCCTCCCCCCGAGACCTACTCCTGGTTCTGCCTGTCTGTGACCTCCTGTGTCCCCCATAGCACCCTGCAGAGCCCCCTGGAGAGCCTGGAGCTGGCCTTCTGTGCTCTGCTGCCTGAGGATCTGCGCTTTCTGGCACGGAGCCCACATGCCGTCCATCTCAAGAAGCTGGACCTTAGTGGCAACGACCTGTCCGGCGGCCAACTCGAGCCTTTTCAGGGCTTACTGCAGGCGGCTGCGGCCACGCTGCTGCACCTGGAGCTGACCGAGTGCCAGCTTGCGGACCCCCAGCTGCTGTCCACGCTCCCTGTGCTGACGCGCTGCGCCAGCCTCCGCTACCTCGGCCTCTACGGCAACCCGCTGTCCATGGCGGGCCTCAAGGAGCTCCTCCGGGATTCAGTGGTGCAGGCTGAGTTACGCACAGTGGTGCACCCCTTCCCTGTGGACTGCTACGAAGGCCTTCCCTGGCCGCCGCCGGCTTCTGTCCTGCTGGAGGCTTCCATCAACGAAGAGAAGTTTGCTCGCGTCGAGGCCGAGTTGCACCAGCTGCTACTAGCCTCAGGCCGTGCGCACGTGCTTTGGACCACAGACATTTATGGGCGCCTGGCAGCAGACTACTTCAGCCTATGACCTCCAGGCCGCACTGGGGTTCAGGGCTGCTGCAGACCCCTCCTTGCCTTAGGTAGACGGACCCTTCCCTGGCAACCTGCTGGAGGCCTGACACGAGGCCCTGGTCTCAGGTTTCTTTGCTCCTGGGCGCTGTGGGCCTTCTTTTGCTTTGGGCAGTGCCGTTTGGTTTGCCTTGAGCCCGTGCCCGTGACTGGCTGACTGTGGGCTTCAGGGCTGGATTCCAGGCCTGCACGGCCAGATTCGGTTTGGGTGTTCTCTCTAGGCCCTTCCCAAGAGCGGACTGCCCTGGGGCTGAAGCTGGAACACGGACCTGCTTCAAGGAGCGCTGGGTCTCCCTGCCCTGGCACCCAGGAGACCACCTGGCAGGGCTTTGGAGCCAGAAGGTGTCGTTAAGGTACAACGTGCAGTGTGTTTGGAACTCGAATTTGTGGTGTTTTTTTCTGTCCCGATTGGTCAGAGTGACTTGTCGCAGGCTCTGGCGTCATCCCCAACCTGGCCGCTGTCTTCCGGTCCGCTGCCCGCGCCTCCTCTTCCCTGGGCACCCCACTCGCCTCACAGCCGGCCCGGGTCTGTCCGCAGCCCGTCGCCCCCCCACCTCGGGGAGACCCCAGTTCCTCCCGTGGGCTGGCTGGCACCCCGCGGAGCTAGAGGGGAGAGCGGTTCTGGGAGGGGTCTTTTCTGGAGCGCCTCGGTAGGGGTGCGGGGACCCCCTCTGGCTGCCGTCCGTCCGCACCTTAGGCCTCCCGTGTGCAGAGCTGGGGTCGGCAGGTGTCCGCGCCCCCCGTCCCCCGGTCCCCACCCCCCCCCGGCCCCCCCCCCCCCCCCGCCCCCCCCCCCCCCCTCGTCCCCACACACAGCGCGCCGCACACTGCGCAGCTTCCAGCCTTTACTGACTGCGCCTGCGCGCGGCGAGCCCGGGAGCCGGCCAACCCGCGCGGCCCACGTCATCAGCTCGCGCCCGCCCCCTCGGCCCGGCTCAGCAGTGAATCTCGTAGGCGGCGGGCGGCTGCAGCGGCAGGCCTGGCCGCGGCCCAGTGGCCGCGCCGTCCGCCGCCTCCGTCGGGCCCTCGGCGAAGAGCGGCTTGGAGCGGTCGATGACGAACATCTCGTGGCCTCGCTCGCCGCGGAGCTCCTCGAGCTGCGCGAAGCTGCAGGGCCCGTCCGAGTAGTCGTTGACGAATAGCGCGCCCTCGCCCGGCGGCCCCGGCGCCTTTTTCCGCTTGCGCCGGCGGCGGCAGATCATGGCGGCCAGCAGCAGCGCCGTGAGCGCCAGCAGCGCGATGGCCGCGGCGACAGCCGTCTGCGTGGCCAGGCCCAGCGCGCGGAAGGCCATGCTGCCCGCCTCCTGCAGGGGCTCGTGGCCGGCGGGGCCGGCGGGCGGGGGCGGCGGGGGCGCGCGCGGCAGCGGCTGCTGCTGCGACAGGTTGACCAGCAGCCGGAAGGGCACGCGGGCGGCGCCACCGGCGTTGGAGGCCTCGCACTCGTACTTGCCGGCGTGCGCCAGGGTGATGTTGCTGAGGAAGAGCATGCCGCTTCCCGTGTCGGGGGCTCCGGGCCCACCTAGGCGCGGCGCCCCGCCTTCCGGCCGCACCTGAGCCCGCGGCTGCCCTTCGCGGGGCTGGGCCACCTTCCTCCAGGTCACCAGGGGCTGCGGGTAGCCGAAAGCCTGGCAGGCCACGCGCAGGTCCTCCCCCAGGCTGGCCGTCACCTCCAGCGGCTCCACGTGGACGGAGGGCGGGATGCAGATGAGGCTGCTGCCGGATATGTCCAGGAGACTCTGAAGGGCCAGGCGCGGGGGTTCCGCGCACATGATCTTCTTGTCCCTGGAGCTGAGCAGCCGCTGGCCCCCCTCCTTGATCCAGGCTCCCAGCCAGTGCAGGGCACAATCGCAGCGCCATGGGTTCTCTGTGGGCAGAGCAAGGGTGGGCAGGTAGCTCACGGGTGGTTGGCCAGGACAGGAGCCCCTGTCAGGCCTCCCACAGGGGGCCCCTCCCCCCTCTTTTCTGACCCCAAGCTCCTTGGCCTGTGGGCAAGCTCTTCCCTTCCCCTTCCTCAGTTCTGTGATGCAGGTTCCGGTTCTCTAGTCTCTAAGAAAGCCTCTACTTCTCTGAAGTCTCTCCTTATACCAAGTCCCATCATTTTGGGCGAACCCTGGTGTCCACGTAGACATCCCACAGCACTAAAACCTCACAGGTCCTGTCAGCCTTGTCTTCAGGTACTGTGTCTGGAAACGGCAGCCCTACTTTCGTCCTTCCAGTTCCTGCCTGGCTGCCCTGATAGCCCCAGAGTGTGCACGTGCGAGCCCCTCAGCTCCTTCCACGGACTTCTACTTTAACTGTCTTCCAGATGGAAGTTCCCTGAGCTGTGCCCCTTCCGGCACCCGCGTTCCCATCAGCCTCCTACCACGGGTGCAGGCTGTGTTGTGGCCCTCCAGAGTGCTCCTGGACGGGCTGCAATTCAGAGCCACCGAAGCCAAAGCCTGCTCCACACCTGGCCCGTTTGTTTCCTCCTGCTACCACTGTGACCAGGAATAAACCTTCGCGTGAGGCCCCTTCACCCCAGGAGGTACCTGTGAGGCGAAGGACTTGCAGGCTGGCCAGGGGCTGTAGGGCCTCACGGCTGATGGTGCCCAGTTGATTCCTGCTGAGGTCCAGCAGTGCCAGTGAGGAGAGCCCCGCCAGGGCCTGGTCCTCCAGCAGCTCAATGCTGTTTTCCTGCAGGTGCAGCTCCTGCAGTCGCTGAAGAAAGGACACAGATTATCAGGGAAAGGGGGCCCTGGGAGGCAGGTTCCCTTCTGGGCAGGCTAGACTGGGTTGACTTTTCTCCCTCTCACTACTTATGGGAGGACCCTTGCCCTTGCCCACCTAACCCCTCACCAGGAGATGCAGGAAGGTGAAATCCAGCAGCTGCACCAACTGGTTACCAGCCAGGTAGAGCGCGCGCAGCTGGCCCAGGCCGGCGAAAGCGCCGACTCGCAGGCCGCGCAGCCGGTTGCCGGTGAGCGCGAGCTCGAGCAGGCGTGGCTGCGCGCGGAAGGCGCCGGGCTCCAGGGCGCGCAGGCTGTTATTGTGCAGGTAGAGTCGGCGCAGGGCTGCGAGAGGTGCCAGTACGCCCGGTTCCAGGCTCGCGATGCTGTTGTCCTGCAGGAACAGCGTCTGCGGGCCGGAGGGAGGGAGGAAGGAAGGAGGAGTCTTTACCCCGCGGAGGGAGTCTCCCTCTTCCCTTGAGCGCTCCAGTACCCTCGGGTACGCTCACACACCCTCCCTTCGTGTCGCAGGCACCTCTGCCCCGCGCGGTGCCCACCTGCGTCCCGGGTGGAATTCCGGACGGGACGACGCGCAGCCGCAGGGCGCCGCACTCCACCGTGGCGCTGTAGCAGCGGCAGGCGGCCGGGCAGCCGGCAGCGCCAGGCGGGAGGTCAGGGAACCACAGCAGCCATAGCAGCAGCAGTATGGGCGCCGCCGGGGCCATCTCCCGCGGGACCGGCTGCGGGCCACGAAGCTGCAGCCTCCTGAAGGGCTTCCTTATAGTCCACCCTGGATGTGATGGGCCTCCTGAAACACAGGTTGGCAGGCCTGCCCCTAACACTTGAGAGCCAGAGAAGGACAGGGATGAAGGCCCACACCCTGTGTGTAGTTTCTGAAAAGTTATGAGTTCAAGCAATTGGTTAAAAAAGAAAATGTTGATTTCTTTCCTTTACAAAAACAGTCATGAAGATCTGGCTTCAATTTGGAATTTCAGGTTTCGATTTGGAATTTCCACTGTTCCTGGTCTTACTACACAGGCCATGTGGGGAGAGTCAACCCTGCCTCACTCCCTTGTCTTTCCATCTATCTCCATCCGGCTCTGTAAGGGGCTTCCTGCTCATGCGTGTGCACATCTGGATCGGGCTTCCCTCTTCATTCTAGCAACCGGCCACTCCTGGAATCCAAGGTGCAAGAGGCCGGTGCAAGGTGTGAGCTTGGGAACATGTAGGTGGTGAAGACCGTTGCCCAAGCACAGGCTAAAAGGGCAAGAATGGGCTCTGGGAAGGCCTCCTTCCCCTCGTCCACATGGACTCCTCTTTATGACACCTCCAAAAGCAGAGTCCATAACAAGTGCGCCCTATAAAAGGCCTGAGGCCACACCCTGCCAGTGTCCTTGTCTTCACCTGACCCTGACCCAGCCATTAAGTCTAGTCCTTTTATCCCTAGAACTCATGCTGTGTTACCTGACCCTGGGAGCACCTGACATACCTTGACTGGTAACATGGGCAGAACTGATCCTGGAAGCCACCAGCCGTAGGAAAATGGAGGCACAGCTGCCCCTGCCCTCCTGGGGGTGATGGTGGGTGGAAGAGCTTGCAGAGAATTAGGGGTATTTCTCAGGGAACTTGCTAGAGAATTGGGGGATGTGGCACACAATAGGAAAGTCAGTTTAGAAGCCATGGCCTATGTTCTCCCTGCTGGCTTCCAGCAAGATGCTTCTGCGTTGGGCTCTGGAGCAGCTGGGTGGTAAAAGAGGGCCCTTGGGCCACCAACTGGGTTTCTAGGGTAGTTTCCCCAGTCCCCAATGGGCTGTGGGAGCAGTGACCTGAACTGTGAAGGGATATAGTATGTTGGGCTTTATGCTCGTGCACCTGTGATCCTACAAAGATGGGAAGGCCTGGGTCCAGTTCTGGGCACAGAAGTTGAGTTTTAAAGGTGGGGACTGGGGCTAAGAAGCCAGCTAGTCTGGGCCAGGGATGGCAACCCTGATGGGGTTCTGTCATCCAGTCTCCAGCCCTTTCCTCCAGTGTCCCACTCTGAACCCCTGCCTGTTTACCAGGTCTCCCTGCTAGCAAGAGGGAGTCATGTGGAACGGCACCAAGTGGCCTTGGTGTCTGTCCAAATCTTGCTCTAAATTGTAACACACATGATTATTTAAAGTCACTAGAAATGAGGTAGGCACAGCAAAAGTTTTAATGGAATATAGCTTTGGCCCAGGCAGAGGCAGTTCCCAGGTGTCTCGGGATGTGTGTGAACCCCAAGGACCTGAAAGCATACTTTGGGCTCCCAGGAGCCGTTTCCCTGAGCCAAAGGGCTGGCCAAGGCTTGCCCACCCAGCCTCCCCCGCAAGTCCTCTCAAGTGGAGGAGCTTCTTGGCTTCCTCCTTAGGATTCAAGGCACTGCGGTTCACAGGGACACCCCCTAGACGCTGACTGGAATAAAAGGGCCGGCGTGAGCAGGGATGAGGGCCCAGGCGGGAAGGGCAGAGAAGGCCAGCCCAGAAATCCTTCTCCCCGGCGGACAGCCCTCTAATCCGGTTGGGCAGGGGGCGGGGCGTCACACACAGGATTCTGCGTTGGCTGTCACCGTCTCCAGGGCGCCGTCCGTGAGGGGACTGGAGGGGCGAGGAATCCCTGCGACCCCCTCGGGACCAACGCGAAGCGCGAGCCGCGTGCCTCGATTCCCCCACGGTGTCACCTGCACCCCCTCCAGCGTGCGTCTGTCCTGGGCCGGTTCAGGGCAGGGCGTGGTCCCCGCCAGGTCTCCTCCCCTTCTGGGTGCGCGCGGGGCACAGAGCCGGGACGGCCCCCGATCCCGCCCCCATGCCCGCTGACCTCGGGTCGGGCGCCCCCTCACCTGACGCTCCTGCGGCGCGGCTCCCCCGCCGAGCCCGCGGCGCCCCGGCCCACAGAGCAGCGCCGGGCGGGGGAGGGGGCGGGCGCCGCTCGCGCACGCGCACTGGAGCCCCCGCGCCTCCGGCCCGGCTTCCCCCCACGCGAGCGAGGGCCAAACCAAATGAAAGGACGCCCCGGGCCCGAGGTGTGGGGAGGGAGCAGAAGGGCCCGCGACTCCGCCCTTCCTCGCGGTCGAGGCTCCGGAAGCCGCAGCAGCACCTCGGACAGCGCCGAGCGGACGGGGCCGCGGTGTACCTCTGCCGCGCACGCGCATTCGGCCGGCGCGCTCTTCGGGTGCGCGTGCGCAGCGATGCGCGGCCGGGACCCTCGAGGAGGGGGGCGGGGCCGCGGGTGGGGGCGGGGCCGGGGCCGCGGGTGGGGTGGGGGCGGGGCCGGGGGTGGGGGCGGGGGCTCGGGGCACCTGCGGCCGCCCGCGGTCCAGCAGGCGGCTCAGGGCGGCGGGGTGGCGAGCAGCAGCGGGGCCAGGTCCATGGTGAGGGCGAGGCGGCGGCCTTGCCAGCGCACGTGTGAGGGCAGCGCGGACGCGCCGGGCGGATACTCGAAGCAGGCGCTAAGCTCGAAGGCCAGGGCTGAGCGCACCAGGCCCACGCCGCCCGCACGCTCCGGCGCGGGGTGGTAGAGGCGCCCATTGGCGGCCAGGGGCAGCAGACGCGCCGGCTCGAAGGGCACGGTCAGGGCCTCCCCGCCGCCGCAGTAGGAGAGACACGGGGGCCCGGGGCCGGAGGCCAGCAGGTGCGTGAAGACCACGGGCCGGTCTTCGCAGCGCAGGAAATTGCGCTCCCTGCCGCAGGGCGAGAGGAAGGGGAAGGAGGTCTCGTAGCGACCGCTGCGGTTGGGTCTCAGGCGGGAGAAGAAGGTGACCAGGAACTGTGGGTCTGGAGGTGAAGGGGCACGGCTGCTTACCATGCCACTCTACTCGGGGCTCTGCTTCCCCCAGGCAAGCGGCTCGCCCTGGGCAACGCCAGCGGCTGGCACCGGTTGTCTGTACGCCACCTTGGCCTCGGTCTAGACAGCAGGGCTCTTGGGCGCGGGATGCCCAGCCCTCTGCTTCGGGCGGGCCAGGGGGCCAGTGGGGAGGCCGGGGAGCAGAGCGCACCACGGCCTTGCCAAAGGGACACGGAAGGTGGGGAAGAGGGTGCAGCAGTACCTTTGAAGCAGGTGATGAAGTTCTTCATTTTGGAGTCATCCAGGAAAAGCTGCGGACAGAGGGGCAGGCCATGGCCCATGAGTCCCCGCCGGGAGCCAGACAGAGTCGTCCCCGGGCGAGGAGGCCTTGGGCAGGCCCGAGCCGGGGCTAGGGTCCTCCTCCCTTGCTCGTTTGCACACCGTGTGCAGAGAGGCGAGTGGAAGGTAAACCCCCGGCCCCCACCCACATTCCCGCGTCTACCCCGCACGCCGGGCCGTGCGGGTGCCTGAGCTGCCGTGCTTTGCCCGCGCCTCTCCCTCAAGTTTCTAATCAGGTGTGCCACCTCCTCCGCGGAGGCTCCCCGACTTGCTTCCTCCAGACACGGTGGATGTCCCAGCCAGGGCTTGCAAGTCAGGCGGGGCGGCCCCGGGGCAGGGGGCAGGACCCGGGGGTGCGGCGCGCGCGAGACGCAGCTGCAGCTCCGCGTGGCAGGCTGGCGGCAGCGGAGGCCGGGCGCCCCAATCTCCGGCTCGCCGACCCGGCGGGGCAGTCCCGTTTACTAACCTCGGGGACCCCGCCCCTCGCAGGCCCGCCCTCCGGCCCCACCTCTCCGACAGGTGCGCCCCCGCAGGCCCCGCTCCTGGCCCACCTGGCCCTGATGATCCACGTAATAAAAATACTCTCGCGTCCGGGGCTCCGGGGCCTGGCCCTGCGTGTAGGAGATGTCCCCGCCCCCACCGCAGGCCCGGGTCCCCGGGGAGCGCGCCAAGGCCCGGGCGCCGCCCCGGAGCGCCCCGCATGTCCACCACATCTTCCTCCCGCGCCGGAAGCGGCGGGCCGGTCACGCGGGGCTGGCGCTGCGAGAACACGCATCCCCCCGGCGACTGCGGCCTCACACTTCGGGTTCCGGAGAACGTGGGGCTCGCTTTTCCTGGGCGCGGCGGACTCCCGCACGGCGGGGGCGCCCGTCCTGCAGTCCCGCCGGGCAAGGGTCACCGGACGGGACCGCCAGGCAGCGGGGCGCTGGCGGGAACTCAGGCTCTGTCCCTCCGCCGTCGGAGGCTGGCGGCCGGCACGGGGACGAGGTGGCCCTCAGAAGACCAGCTCGGCTACCCGGCGACTGCGCGTTCGCTCTGCCTGGAACCAGGGCATGTTGGGGGCAGGACGCGGCACAGCCCGCTCTCCGCGCAAACGGGCAGGGACTTAAGGGTCGACACATAGCCCAGGTGGCCGCAGACGGCGCAGGGGGACCTGACACCCAGCTGGTGCCTCCTCCCTGGCTCAGCCCCTCTCCCCCATTCCCAGGAAACAGCCTTGCTCCTGGCTCACACCCCTACGGCACCCTCTCCGTTCCCCCAACTTCCCCTGGCCTGTCCACGTAGGTGACCATACAAGCAACAGACTGGCTGCTGGAATGGGCTGCCCAGCCCCCAGCCCAGCCCCCTGCAGAGACTGGAAGAGCACGAGGCGACAGGCAGTGACCATGGCTCGCAAGTGTCCATATGTATTTTATTCACACAAAGTGTCATCTCCTCTTGAGTCCGTGCGTCAGAGCTAGAGTCTGTGGCAGGGCCGTCCACCCCAGGCCCGGAGACCACCCGACTGAGGACACTACCTCAGGGGACACCCGGGCAGCAGCAGGGCTGGGCTTTTTTGTTTTTAATAATAAATAAAAACTCAACTCTAAAAATACATACATACATATACATATATATACATATACATATATATATATATATATATATATATATATATATATATATATATATATATATAAACTGGGGAGAAATTAAGTTTTACAATTGGAACTCAAAATTCCAAAATGGAAAATGTACAAACTGAGAGTCTAGGTACTTCCTACCCCCAGCTCTGGCTTTGAGGAAGGGCAATCCTGGGGGCTCCCAGTTTCCCCAGCTTGGGGCTCCTTCCCTTTGTTCCACTGCAGGTCCCAGAAGGGTATGGGGCAGGGCTTGGTTTTTGGTCGAAGCCAAGAAAGTGGCGAAGAAAATGAAGGAGTGATACCAGCTTGCTCTGCACAGAAGACAGGCTAGGACGGCTCAGAGATAAATAGCATTTGGGTTAAAACTATGTCATTAGCAAATTTAGTTCTATCATTTCCTCTATATCTTTATACACAGGCGGATTGGTGTGCTGGATAGAATCTGAATTTATAGTTACACGAAGAAAAAATACTCTTGCCCCTCCCCCACCCTGCCCCAAGAATGCCTGCCCAACAACCCTGCCCCCCACCCCAGGGGACTTTGGTTTGGGGGCCCCTCCCCACCCAGAGAGAGCCTGCAGGGCCCTGCTCCGGTGGACAGTCCAGTGCCCTGGGACCCCCAATTCCTGTGCAATCTCGACGATGGAGGCCACAGGTGCCAGGGTGCGGGGTGGGGGTGGGGGTCGGAGGCTACGGGCCAGGAAGGAGACCGAGGGGAAGTGCCGGGCAGAGGACAGACGGGCAGCCAGGCAGGGGCCAGGCCAGGACTAGGCCTAGCGCAGGAGCCCCCGCCTCCTGCGAGGCAGCTCACGGGGCGGGGTGTGGGGGGGGTGAGGGCGGGGGAGGGGGCGTGTGCTCTCAGGCCGGCCGGGAGGGGCAGTGTCGCTTGGCTCCAGGAAACAGAAGGCACTTTCTGGGGGCTGACCGGCCGGCGGTGGGCGGTGCGGTGCCCAAGGAACTGGCCACTAGGCAGGGGCGGGAGGGGGCCCAGAGGCGCCCCTCCCACGGGCCCTCTGGCCAGGCCGCGTCCACAGGCCCAGGGCCTGGGGTGGGGGGAGAGGGTGGTGGGGGGGTTCCAGGGCTGGGGCGGGCATGGGCGGAGCCTGGCATGCTGCCTCCGCGGCTAGGGCGTTCCCTCCCCCCTCCCCGCGTGCTCCCCTGCCCGGGCGCCCCCCGAGCGTCGGCTCTGTCCCCACCCTCGGTCCTTGGGCCCCCCTCCCCGCGCTATAGCACGCCCTCCATGAAGCTGGTGTCCAGGTGCTGGATGAGCACGCGGAGGAACGACATCTCCTTGCGCGTGTTCTCGAAGATGACGCGCGGGTCGTCCGATCGGCAGCGCAGGCAGTTGGGCGCCATCACCATGGCCAGGTTGCTGACGTCCATCTTGGTGACGGCCACGTTGGCGGGCTGCACGAACACCTGCGCGGAGAGGGCAGGAGGGTGGGTCGGGCCGCGGCGCGAGGCGTGCCCCGGGCGGGTGTGTGCGCGTGCCCGTGCGCACCCCGGGGGAGTGTCCCAGGTGTGCGCGCGCGCCCCGGGGTGTGTGTGCCCAGCCCGTACCTGAAGGAAGCGGATGAGGTAGCACAGCACCAGGCGGTTGATGCGCGGCAGCGCGTGCACCACGGCCACGGCGGCCTCGGGGTTCTCGTAGTGCGCGATGCACTGCTCGTAGAACTCGTGCGGGATCAGGGGCTCCTCCAGCTCCCGATACCACAGCTTCAGGAGCGAAGCTGCAGACACAGCGGCGGCGGAGGGGGGCGCGCTCAGCACAAACTGCTGGGTGGGCTCCCCCGGGCTGCTCGGGAGCCAGGGAGTGGCCGGAGGGTTAGGGCGACACAGGGCGGGGGCAGCGTGTGGCGCGAGCAGTGGTGGTGTCGGGCCAGACTGGAAAGGCCCAGACCCTGGCGTGCTGGTGCTCCTGAGGACCTGGATGGACCCCGGGGCGCTGGGGGTGATTCAGGGAGTAAGGGAGCGTGGCAGGCAAGGCCCCAAGGACACTGTAGGATGGGCAGGGGGTGTCTGTGCTGGAAACAGACTGGGAACCATGGCATCACTGGGGGAACAAGGGGGAGCCCAAGTGCTCCAGCTGCCTGCACCAGCCTGCTCCTGCTCCCAGGGGGATGGGGGCTCACCAGGGACGTGGGGGTCCTCCAGACCGGTGGGCACCTTCCACTGGTCGACCTGCAGCTTCAGGGCATTCACCTCATCAATGTCCCCAGGGACTCTGTGGAGCGGGGGGGGGGGGGTTCTCACTGGGGAGAACTGTCTGCACCCTGACGGTTGTCCCTCTTCTCTCTGCTGCCCCCCCACCCCGGCAGATGACTTCATCAGCAGGTCGTCTGAGGCTCAAGCCCACGGGCCTCAGCTTCCCCAGCTCTCCCCTTGGGGCCTGGGTCGGTGAGTCCCAGCAGCAGGTTGCAGTGCTCCTCCCCACCAGGCAGGGACTGTCGACCCTGCCCACAGGTGAGCACCATCTCCTGGCTGCTGGGTGTCTTTCCAGGCTCACAGCTCAGGCCCTGCCTATGGCTGATGTCCAAGTGCCCCCTGGGACCCTGGTGGCCATTTTTACAGAGGCGCAGTCCCCAACCGACCCTCCTAAGTTCAGGCATACTGCCATTCGGGGGGTATGATTCTCTGACTTGCCTCCATCATGTGCCCTCCCCGTCCATATGATGGCCTCTTGGGGGGGGGGGTGCTCTCTGGCTATTCCCAGGCAGAGGCAAGGCTGGGGCATGGAAGTTGGCCCAATGGTCCCAGTGCCTGCCAGAGACACATGGTGGAGATGCCCAAGGCCCCCACCCCCAGGGCCCAGGACGCAGGGCACCTGAAGATGCCTTCTGTCTGGTCGCCGTTGAGTGCCAGCACCTCCTCAGACAGACGTGTCTGTACCCAAGGCAGCTGCCGCTCCGGGTACCGCTCCTTCTGCATGCTCATGACCTCCTGCAGGGCGCTGCCAAACATGGACGGGCTGAACACAGCGTTCTTGGCATGCCGGATTTCCTCCACGTTGGGCTTCTTCAGCCCCTGCAAAGACAGCCCAGCTCTGTGTCTTGGTGTGGTCCTGCGGCCCTGCTTCCAGCCTTCCCTCCCCCACCCCTTGTCCTCTCACCCCTGCTAACTCCAGGCGCCTGCCTAGTCAGAGCTGGAGGCACCCCCAACCCCCTGGTCCCCAAATCACTGGGGGGCACACCTTGCTGGGCCACCAACAGTGTTCTAACTCGTCAGGTGGCCCCACTGGCCGCCCAGGAGGAAGGTGAGAGTGACTCCTGGAGAAGTGCCCGGGGCCACAGAGGGGCCCAGGCTGGCTGATCTGGACCCTGTGAGACCTCCGGGGGTGGAGGTGAGGGGGAGAAGCCTGAGTGGGGGACATGCAGCTCCCAGTGACAGGGTTAGTGGATTAGGAAGAGGAGAGGGGGAGCCAGGCTCTGGGACAGTGGGGGAAAGTTCCAGGAAAGGAGGGCCCCAGGGGCTTCTTAGGTATGGGTGGTGGGCTGAAGTGGCGGGGTGGGGGGGACAGAGAGGAAGATGGCCAAGAGCCACACACCCCAAGACCAGGGAACAAGGTCCAGCCATCTGGTGTGACCGGCATGTTCTCCAGAGGGGCTGCGGGAGGGATGTGACTATCAAGCTCTGGCGGACACTGAGAAGGCCCAGGGGCAGAATGGGTGTCCCAGAGGACCACCTGCCCATCTGGCCCACCCTGGCTGCCAGCGTGGGAGGAGCCCCGTGATGGGTCTGGGTTCCTGGCCAGGAGGGCGGATCAGGGTGAGTGAAGGGGGCCATACTGGTCTTCTGAGGCTGCCCTGCAGTCCCAGGCTTGGCCATCCCTGGGCCCAGGGGCCGTCGGCCAGGGGGAGGGTCCCCGCTGGCAAGAGTCGTCTCTTGGCCTACTCACGGGCTGTGACCCTCCGTCACCCCTCACTGAAGCAGCCCGACAGCGGCAGGCCTGTCGCCCTCACTCGGGCGGCCGCACGTCCCTTGTCTGTGCCGGCTCCCGAACGGGGGTGCAGCCCCCAGCCTCCCCTGGCTGCCTGCCTCGGTGGGCTCTCTGGAGCACCTTCTGAACCATGAGCCGTCCCCTCCCCCTCCCCCAGCCAGCTGGGCTTGAGGAGGGCAGGGCATTCTCCAGGCTGTGAGGGCTGCCTGTCGAGGCCTCCCTCTGGACCCGTCTAGCTGTCAGCAGCACAGCCTGCCCAGCCCCACCCGGCCATCCTGGGGGAAGCTCGTACCTTCTTGGCCCCAGTCAGGGCTGCCTTCTGTAGCTTGTGGTAACAGTACTTGGCGTAGGTGCTTATCGCCACCCCTGGAAGAGAATGGGTGCTGGTTGGCTGGTGTGTGAGACGCAGGGGCCTAGAGAAGCGGCAGCAGGAGAGGTGAGGACAGGCGGCTCCAGCAAGAGCCCTGAGGGCCTGGGCCGGCCTGGCCCACTCCTGCCTATCACTTGCCTGGGGACAGTGGGTGCTCATGTTCCTGGGCTAAGTCCTTCAGAGCAGAAACCCCCATGGACAGGCAAGGGGCACTTCCCTCACCTCAAGGAGCCAGGCTTGGGAAGGAACTCCCCTGCTGACCTGCCCGCGTTTCCCCACCACCAGGAAGGGCAGGCCATGGGCCCCGGGGCCTCCAAAACCCCTGCTCCCCGGGCAGGCTAGCCCTGGGGAGTCCCTAAGAGGAGTAATTTCCACAGGCAACAGGCGTAGAGGTGCCCAGTGCCCTCGGCCTGGTGCTGGGGAGCAGGCCTTAGCCTGCAGAGCCCCGTCCCTCCCAGCTGAGAGCTGCCTGGGCAGCGGTGGGGAAAGGGAGGCCAAGGGGATGGGTGGCATGTGGGAGGGGGTGGCTGCGTCCTGAGCCTGGGGCTCTCTGGGAGGCCCACAACACAGGAAGACACCTTTGGGTTCTGCCCAAGGACTGAAGGCGACAGGGAGAGGACTGGGCTCCTTTCTCAAGGGAGGGAGCTTTCCTAAAACTCAGTCCCTGGCAGAAGCTCTGGCTGGTGGTCATGGGGGAATGGCCAGGGTGGCATTCTGAGGGCAAGGACCCCAGGGACCCTGGCTGGGAGGTTCTCCAGATACAGAAATGAGGGGAAGGAGAAGCCAAAGAGGGGTGAGGGGAGAGGGGGAGCAGCTCCCACACGGGGTGGGTCTAACGTGTGGCATCGTTCCTGGCCCAGGCGAGGGGAAGGAGGGGAAGAGGAGCAGCTGAGAGACCAAGGACGCACACAGGCGGAGCCTGAGGCACCACAGCCCCACAGAGACAAAAAGGCCGGAATGAGTGCCCCCCGGCTCAGAACCAGCCGCTCTCCGGGGGGAGGGCTCTGCTCCCACGGGGCCCACCTGCCCTAGGGCCTCCAGCCAGAGGGAGGCCAAGTCTCTGCACTCAAGTCCCAAATCAAAACGCCCCCTGGTTCTTTTACAGGAAGCACCTTCTTGTGGACGGCTGAGCATGTGGAGGTGCTTGGACCCCAGTGGGAAAAACATACCATGGCTCAGCCCCTCAGTCTTTTCATTTTGGATGATCACAGAGCAGTGTTGTTAATACACGTGGCGAGGGGATTCTTTTTTTTTACAGTAACCCGAGTGAAAACCGACACTGCCCGTTCTCCCTGGAGACTCTGCTTCAGGTCCCGGAGGAGCCGCAGACCCCGGCAACGAGTCCAAGCGGCGGCCTCTGCTGGGCCAGCGCAGGGCGTGGGCCCGGGACCAGTTTGCCCCAGGCTGACCTGGCCATCCTTGACAGGCTCCCGGGGACCTGGAAGGCAAAGGGGGCCGTGGGCTGCCCGCTGGCCGCGAGGAGTCGGCCGCAGACTGGGGCTGTGCCTACCCGTCCCTCGGGCGGGTGAGACCAGCTCTGACCCCCCATCTGACTAGGATCTGAAGATCCTGGGGCTGCCGCCTCTCGGCTGGCGAACCTGGTCACGAGGCAGCCTCGTGGGGCCCAAGCTTGCTCCCCTGTAGGATGGGGACAGGGAAGACACGGACCACAGGTCCTTGTGAAGGGCTGATCTTGGAGTTGGCGCACGGCTCAGCAGATGGTAGCTGCTGGTACTGGCTTTTGTGGGTGGACCACGACTGAGTCTGCGTGTGTCCCGAGTCCCAGGAGCTCCCCTGTGCCCTGTCCTGCCGTGGGTGTAGCTTCCTGGGCCTGACTGTGGGATGTCTGCTGAGGGCCTGGGAAGATGTGCAGTGCCTAAGGCCAGCCCAGTGACACCCCCGCAATGGTGCGGGGTGCTCCACGTCAGGACCACTAACCTGTCCAGGGCAAACCCATACCCAGTCTTCTAGGTGGGGAGTCAGTAGGCAGCACTCCCAGCTGTACTGCTGTGCCTGGGGCCTTAGTGCCCCTGAGCCCTGCCCGGCTTTAACCCTGAAAAGGTGGTGGGTGTGGCCACAACGGGCTGGTGCTCCAGGACATGGCTGGGTCCAGGACACAGCTGGGTCCTAGGGCTTCTAGCTCCCTCCTCACTCCCCAGCACTATCTAGGGCCAGTGTCCTGCTCGGCCCCAGGCCAGGCCCACCTCCCTGCTGCAACCCACCTCCTGGACAGGCTCCAGCCGGAGTTCAGAGCCTCTTTCACTCCTGTTCTAGATGGGTGTGGCCTGAGGGCAGCTGGGGATCCTGGACTCCAGCTGCCCCCTCTTGCCGAGGGCAGTGGCCAGTCAGACAGCTTCCCCGGAGAAAGGGGTGTCAAGGCTGAGTGGTATTAGAGGATGAAAAGTAGGGCACGTTTGGAGAATGAGGTGTGTACAAGGCTGGGGGAAGTGCCAGTGGTGGCACTGGGGCTGGTCTCAGAGCCCCAGTGCCAGGAGGGGAAGTGGACATGGCAGCGGTGAGATCACCAGCTCCCGCAGCAGGGAGGGCACGGTCCTGTGTTAACAGGGCTTCCCTGGAGCTTGGACGGCGGTGGGATGGTGGTGTGGGTCTTTTTTTGGGGGGGCTGCGTGTGGATCTTGAGCCAGGGCCCAGGGGAAGGGTGTGGCTGGTGGGGGAAGTTGGGAGATCTCTGGGCGCCCACCAAGGGAGCAATGCCAGACTCTACGCCCCACCCCAGGGCGGCCTGGGCTGGAGGTCAGGGCAGGAAGGCCCTAGGGCACTTCCTCTGCGCGCGCTCAGCTAGGGCGCTCCCAGTGCCCTGCCCAGTTCGTCCTCACGCCCCTCCCCGCAGAGAGCCCAGGATGCAAGCCAGAGACTGTCCTGAGCGCCACAGAGCAAAGAGGCACAGGCAGGCGCGGCCTGCCACGGAAGCCCCTTTGCTGACCTGGACACCCGGCCGGCACAGAAGCCCATGAGCCTGATGGTTAGTGCCACCCACCAACACCCCTTCCAGCCCAGAAGCGGTTAGAGAAAGGAGGCCAGGCGGCCGAGGCTGGAGAGCAGAGCTGTGCAGACACAGCGCACAGGGGCTCTGGGGAGAGGCCCTACCATCCGGTTCCTCAACATAAGGCTTGGGTTTCTTTCTCAACTTGGACTTCTTCTTAGTGTTCCTTTCCAGGAGCGCTTTCATATGCCGCGTCACTGGGGAGCAAACAGAGCCGTGAGGACCACAGAACACAACGCCAGGAGTGCACACCCACGCGGGTCCCGATGCGTCTGGCAAGGAGGCCCCTGGGCCTGCAGGGGGCCGACCCGGTGGGCTGGGCAGGTATCACACCCCTGCTGGGTTCCTCCAAGCGAAGCAGGGCCGTGGCCAACACCCAGCTAGGGCTGAGGAGGACGCAGCCCAGGAATGCTGTGCTGTGTGTACCCGTACGGACGTGCGGCTGTGCACAGGGGCGGGTCTGGACCACGGGGCTGGGGAAGTCCTGGGGCCCTTCTGAGCACTGTCGACCAGAAAGCTGGCTCCCCTCAGACGGGAGGTGGGCAGGACGATGCAGGGAAGGGCAAGGGAGGAGATGCTTCTGATCCGCGGGCAGGCTGGGTCCTGGGCGGTGCTGGAGGAGGTGCTGGGTGATACAGCAGGCATCTCGGACCCACGTGGGCCGACCTCCCACTCTGCACAAAGAAACTCAGCACTGCTGACAGGCAGCCCTGTGTCCCCTGTCCATCCTGTGCTCTCTGGAAGTCAGCCCACGCTAAGGCTGGGAGTTACGCTCTACTCTGATTGGGCCGTCTAGAGAAATCGGCTGTTACTCTTCTGCACAGGAACCGCTGTCTCATCTATCGGATCATTTACTCTTATCCGCACGGACTTGTGGATGTATCATTTTATAGTGTGGGTTATGATCCAATACAACTTCGTTTTTTGCTCAAATGGCTCCAGGTTTGGCCACCGGGAACCCGTTCAGTTGGCTCCTGTGTCCTGTGACACTCTCTGCTGTCCCCCCCAGCCCTATACCCAGCTGTTTCTCCAAGAAGCCCTGGTTCCTTGAATGGAAAAGGAATCAAGACCTGGGGGTGAGGTGTGCTCACCGTTCCTGGGGCGCTGACAGAGCTGGGACAGGTGCGCCCGTGTCCTACGTGGACACACGTCCCCCAGACAGCACACCAACACCCCCAACTCTGACATGCCCCCACAGGACACTCTAGCCTCCTCTTCCTGCTTGTCTGACGGCTGCATCTCTTCCTTCTCTTTACAGCAGGAAACTTTGTTCAAGTCCAACGGACCAATGTTTCCCTTGTAGACAGTGCTTTTACTGTCACACATGGAAACCTCGCCTAATTCAAGAAAAAACTTTTGTTTTGTTCTGGTTTTATAATTCTAAGTTTTATATAGTTTTATACAATTTTTGCACTGGATACAGTGCATACACTGTGCAAAGCATGGCTAGAAGCTCATCTTTTCTCTGCATCTGGAACGTCAGCTGTCCCAGCACCACTTGAAGAAGGCACCGTCCTTTCTTCACTGAAGGGCCTTCGCATCTCCGTGTAAAGCTAATAGACTGTGTGTGTCTGGGTCTTGCTCTGGCCTCTGTCCTGTCCCATGGAGCTACTGTCTACCTTTAGCCAACACTCGCCCTCCTGCTACTGCAGCCTTATGACAAGCCTTGAGGTAGAGCAGGGTCAGTCCGCCAACTTCGCTCTTGCTATTCAAGCGGTATTTTGTCTATTCTAGATCCTCTGCATTTTCTACGGATTTTAGAATCCACCTAATTAATTTCTAAATTAAAAAAAACTATTAAGATTTTGGTTAGCATTCCGTCTACACATCAGTTTGGAAGGAAGTAAGAGCTTAACACTAATGAGTCTTCTGATTCATGAACGTGGTATTTCTCTCCATTAACTTAGGCCTTCCTGACTTTCAGTAATGTTTGGGAGTTTTTACTGTAGAAGCCTTAGACATCTTTTGTCTGATTTATCTCTAAGTATCACATTTTTAAATGCTACTTCGGATTTTTTTAAACATTTTATTTCAAAATAATCTCACACTGAACGTCGGGCTCGAACCCACAACCCCGATACCAGAGTCTCTGCTCCACTGTCCAGCTAGGCACTCCCAGATGGCATTTTAAAATGTTCCATTTGTGTGTTGCTATTGCATGGAAACGCGCTGAGCTTTTCCATATTGGTCTTGTGTCCTGCAAACCTGCTCAGCTCACACGGTATTTTTATGCATCTCACAGAAGACCGTGTTGTCTGTGAATAAAGACAATCGCACACTTCCTTTTCCAGTCTGGATGCCCTTTATTTCTCCTCTGTGACTCTGCCCTGGCTGGCCCAGCAGCATGACTCTGAGTTGGTGCGGTGCGGCTGGAGGGCCTTGCCTTGTTCTTGAACTTGGGGGAAAGCACTGTGTCTTTCCCCATTACGCACAATGTTGGCTAGAGGTGTTCCTTGTTTTAATTGTGGTAGAATAAAAACAAAGATGTAGCCATTTACCCATTTTTCAGTGTACAACTCAGCGGCATCCAGTACATTCACAACGTCATGCAGCCTCCACCACATTTATTTCCAAACTTTGTACGTCACCATAAACGGAAACCCTGTCCCCACCAAACCAAAACTCCTCATTCCCCCTCCTCCAGCTCCTGGTAACCTCTAATCTACTTTCTGTCCTATGAATTTCCTTATTTTAGATTTTTCATATAAGTTGTACAGTATCTGTCCTTTTGTATCTGGTAAGAGTAACTTTTCAATGTTCTCCCACTTTTTAACATGTATCAGAACTTTACTCCTCTTATGGCTGCAAAACCTCCCCCTGCACGGACAGACCACATTTCGCTTATTCAGGTACCTGCTGGACGACTGGGCTGGGCTGTGCAAGTATCTGTCGGAGGGCTCGCTTTCCATTCTTTTGGGGACTGTAGGGTTTTAAGAAAAAATATTTGCCTTTTGTCAGGGTGAAGAGGTTCCCTTCTGTTCCTAGTTTGTTTAGAATTTTTATCAGGCATAGAAATGTTGATTTTTGCCAAATGCTTTTTCTATGCTTACTGGAATGATCACATGGTCTTTCCCTTTTACTCTGCCGCTATGGCAAATTACAGTGATTGATTTTTTAATGTTAAACCAACCTTTCCTTCTTCAGATAAACTTCACTTATTCAAGATACATTATCTTTTTAATATATTGTTGGACTCAATTTGCTAAAATACTTTAAAAATTTCTGCTCTCTCAGGGTGCCTGGGTGGCTCAGTGGGTTAAAGCCTCTGCCTTCGGCGTGGGTCATGATCCCCAGGGTCCTGGGATCGAGCCCCGCATCGGGCTCTCTGCTCTGCAGGGAGCCTGCTTCCTCCTCTCTCTGCCTGCCTCTGCCTCCTTGTGATCTCTATCAAATAAATAAATAAATAAAAATCTTTAAAAAAAAATTTCTGCTCTATGTTCAGAAGGGATACTGTCTGCACTTTTCTTTTTTTGTAATGTCTTTTTATAATTTTGGTATGGAATGAATGGGGAGATATTCCTTCCACTTCAATTTTCTCAATGAGTTTGTAAAGAAGAGCCAAACAATGAACTTTTGGTAAAATTTACCAGTGAAGCCATATGGGCCTTTACTTTTCTTTGCAGGAAGGTTTTAAGTATCAATTCAATTCCCTTAATAATTATACGTTTTTTTGGCTGTCTATTTCTTACTGGGTCATCTTCGGTAGTTGGTGTCCTTCAAGGAATCTGTTTTCCTCTAAACTGTTCAATTTATGGGCGTCAAGTTGTTCATCTGATCACCCTTTGACGCACTGAGTCTGTTGTGACGTCATCTCTCATTCTTTACATCGGTAATTAATGTTCTCTCTTTGTCCTCATCAGTCCGGCTAGAGATTTATCGATTTTATCAATCTTTTCAAAGAATTAGCTTTTTGTTTCATTGATTCTCTGCAGTATTTGTTTTCACTTTCACTGATTTTTACTCTGATGTTTAGTATTTTCTTCTGCTTGGTTTTAGTAGAAATTATTTTTTGAGTTTCTTAGAATAGACACTGAAGCCACTGATTTGAGATCTTATTTTGGAATATAGATATTAAGGGGCGCCTGGGTGGCTCAGTGGGTTAAAGCCTCTGCCTTAGGCTCAGGTCATGATCTCAGTCCTGGGATCGAGCCCCACATCGGGCTCTCTGCTCAGCGGGGAGCCTGCTTCCTCCTCTCTCTCTGCCTGCCCCTCTGCCTACTTGTGATCTCTGTCAAATAAATAAAACCTTTAAAAAAAAAAGAATATAGATATTAAGATACTATGACTCTCTAAGAACTGCCATGACTGCACCCCACAATTGATACATTTTGTTTTCATTTTCTTTCAGTTCAAAATACTTCCTAATTTCCCTATAGGTCCCCTTGCCAACAGGTTTTTATTTGACCCATGGGCTCTACAGTATACGCTTTTTAGTTTCCAGGTATGTGGGGATTTTCCAGATATCTTAGTGTTACTGATTATTAATTCAATTCTGTTGTGACTCGAAAACATACTTTCTATGATTTACCTTCTTTAGCATTTACTAAGATTTGTTTTCCTGCCTATCTTGAAAATGTGGCTGGGATCTGAGTCCAAATGCTCTGGGTCTGGAATCTATGCCTTTACCTACTCTATGGTAGCTGCTTTGTTTCTTAAGCAAGACTCACTAGTCCTTCTGTTTTCAGCTTCCAGATCACACACTTCCCAAACCACTGCTGGAAGCGGGCTCCACCCACGATGAAGCTACCTGCTTCCGCTGCTTTGCCAGTGTCTGCCACTTGTCCATGCACTTTTCTGCTTCCAAAGCATAGTGTTCATTCTCTTTGTCCTTGTGGGTGTTCTTATTTTTATTGTGGTAAAATAAACACAAGATAAAATTTACCACTATAACCATTTATCCTTGTAGAGTCAAAGGCATTAAGTGCAATCACTGTGGTGTGACCAGCAGCGCCCTCCACCTCCAGAACTTCTCATCAGGCCAAGTGCAAACACCTGTCCCTCCCCTCGCCCCTGGCACCCACCATTCTTTCTGCTTCCATGAACAAGGATATCCGAGGCCCTCTTAAGAGTGGACTCATAACAACAGCTTTTTCTGAACTGGCTTATTTCACTGACCATAATGTCCTCCAGTTTCATCCATGTTGCACATGTGTCAGAATTCCCTGCATTTTTTTAGGTTGAACAATACTGCCTTGTGGGGACGGAGCACCTTCCGTTTATCCGCTCATCTACTGATAAGCACTTGAGCCGTGCCCCCCCGGCTGTTGTGAATCTGAGTGTACAAATATCTATCTGTTCAAGTCTCTGCTTTCAATTCTTTTAGGTAAATACACAGAAGTGGAGTTGATGGGTCCTACGGTAATTCTGTGTTTCATTTTTGAGGAGCTGCCAAACTGTTCTCCACAGTGGCTGCACCACGGTACATTCTCTTGTTGTTGTTTTTCCCTCTCTCCTTTAAAAAAAAAATTCCTTCCCTGTTCATTTAGCAGGACTTCAGAGTAGAGTCCGAGTAAATGTATGTGTTCCATCTGACACCTTTCTGTGGAAACCCTGAGTCTTACTGAACACCTGGACGGCGAAGGACCCTTCTTAGGGTCTGTGCCCCTCCACAGTGCTGCTGCGTGGGGCACACGTTCTGCAATGTCTGCTGACAGCCTGCAAAGTTGGGAAAGGACCCCGCTGGCTGCTGGCACAAAGGTGTGGCCACGTATGAGGCAAGGCTGAGCCAGGGGTCCACAGACATGAGACCTGGGGCTCACTGCACTGGTGCCTTGGTCCCTTGCAATGGTGACCACACACACGGTAGGTATCACACGTGTGATGGCAGAAAAAAATCAAAGATTTTTGAGGCCCAGGCGGGCAGCACCACAGGGATCTGGGCTCAGCTCTGCCCTTGCCCGTGACCCTGAGATGGATGCAGTTTTCCTTTCTCCAAGAACAGGCTCCATCCTTGTGGGCCAATGGGTGGTGCCTTCCTGACCACCAGCCAGAGTGCCTGTCCCTGACGTGCCAGTGGGAGTGAGCACAAGGCCTCCCTCTGGCTCAGCGCCGAGCAGGGTCTACAGCACAGGCCTGCCCAGTGACAGTCCTGGGGCTGGCTTCTGGCTGTGAGATCCGATCCCACAGCCTAGAAGCAGGCTCCTGTCGGTGGGACCACACAGACCCACTCTCCCTCTGCAGGCTGAGAACATGGGGCGCTGAGACCACCTGGGCCTCCCTCGGGTGGGCAGATGCTCAAAGCCATGTAGGTCCAGGATGACCACCAACTCCCTCATATACTCCAGCCCCATCCCTGTGGTACAGACACTAGGACCAAGGCCCACAAACCTCTGTTCCATGAGGAGTATCCTGCCGGGCCCAGCACGGGGCCTGGAGCTCTAGCCCCCCACAGGAGCCCCCGCTGGCTGGCAGGAATGGCCTTAGGAGCCTCTGTCCACTCGCTCTTCACTCACCTTTTTACTGAACAAGTGCTCCCTGGGGCCCCAAAGGCCATGTGCTGAGCAGTGGACACACACTTTAAGGCTCTGAGGAAGACCGACATGAACCATGAAGCAAATAAGGGCCCACCCTCTCCTGGGAAGGCCTGAGAGACTGAGGCAGATGAGGCAGACCCAGGCAGCCCAGGGCTACATATTCCGCATGTCGGGAGAAACTACCTGGGGACGCCCACCAGCTGTGCTCAGTGACCCTGCTTCAAACACCGCACGCCTCAGTTAAGGGCGTCTGGGAGGCTCAGCTGGTCAAGCATCCAACTCTTGGTTTCGGCTCAGGTCACGATCTCATGGGTTGTCAGAGCGAGTCCCACGTCGGGCTCTGCACAGGGGGAGTCGCTGGAGGATTCTGGCCCTCTGCCCCTCCCCTACCCGGGCACTTTCTCTCTCTCAAAATAAATAAATCTTACAAACCAACCAACCACCCCCAAAACCACATGCCTCAGTGAAAATCTCCTGGCTTCTAAGATCTGTGGCCAACTGGCTGATGGGCTGGCTGGTGCCTGTGCTTGACCCACCTTCCCGAGGTCCCACCACTGCCTGGGCTGCCACAGCCCCCATCACTCTGTGCACCCACCCAGGCCCAACACCCCTGGGCCGGGGCAAGGCCCTGGCTGGATCAAGGTAGATAGTCACTCCCATAGAGGAGCCCAGAAAGTGCATGAGGGCGTGCGTCTGGACACTGGCTCCATGGCCGTGCCTTGGGGACACCCGTGGCTGTCTGGGTGGCGGACAGCTGGTTACAGATGCAGCTGTTGCCTAAGGCCCCGTCCCCACGCTCTCTCTAGTGGCACAGGACTGGTGTCAGCCGCACAGCCGCTGTCTGGTTAGCAGGGCCGTGGCCCTGAGTCCTCCCTGGAGCAGCCAAGTATGGGACCAGACCAACCTAATCCATGGCTTTCAGGAGCCCTTGGCAGAATCTGGCCCCATACTTGGCCCCGGGCAGCCCTCGGCAGGTGGCTACCCATGCTGGGCCAACCTCTGACTTCTTGGGGTGGCTCAGGGCCAGGTCAGCTTACAGTGCCCTGAAGGCCCACTGCTCCAGCCAGAGCTGGTGCTGGGCTATGCACGCCTGCCCCCCAGGCTCCTCCCTGCTCTCAGGAACCCTGCTCCAGGGCTCCCAGCCTCCTCCCCACCACAGCAGATGGCCAGAGCCCGACCGGGGGTCCACTTCACCAGACCACAGCACGGCTGAACCCAAACACAGTGAGCACACGGAGACGCTCATTAGGCAGAGGACCAGGTGCGGAGGAACCAGCGGAGAGGGGGCCGCCTGGCTGAGACACAGAAGCCAGTCCTCATCCGGCCCCCTCCTCTCTGACCCTATTCCAGGATGGCCTGTTGTCCTCCTCAGGGCCTCAGTGGCAGGGAAGGGCTCCCCAAGGACCCCACGTCCCTGTGGAAACTTAGGGCCTGGCCCTTGGAGGACCCGTGTGTCTGCCTAGAGGTGCCGTGCCACATACCTGTGGCCTGCGCAGACCGGGATGCTCTCGCCACAGCCCTTCCCAGAGCTGGCAGTGGAGCCCGGGGCGCTGGGAACCTCATGCACTGGGCCTTACCTTTGGTGTCATTGACGGGGTCCATGTGCCGGTAGATGTAGCCCTCCAGGTAAGAGTGGAACTTGGGTGTGGGTGGGAAGAAGGCCAAGCAGATGGCCATGAGCTCCCAGCCACGGGCCAGGCTCTCGAGGCGGAAGTTCTCCGTGGTCTGCCGGCACAGCTGGATGTATAGCTCGTCCCGCAGGCCCTGCACGCTCCAGCCCTTGGTGGCTATCTCCAGGGCTACGTGCAGAGGGTCAGCCTTGGCACGCCGGTCACCCATGTACATCTGGATCAGTTTAAAGATCTCACAGGCCTCCTTCTTCACGTGGCGGTCGCTGGTCACAATCATGGGCTTCTTGATGGACTCACTGCTCCAGGCCAGCATGTTGGCGATGGACACCTTCCGCCGGAAGAGGCCCTGGGTGTGCGTGTTGAAGTGCTTGGAGGCCCAGTTCTCAATGTCGGTCTCTGAGGATGGCTTGCGCAGTGTGAAGGGGGGGAACACACAGCTGGCACTGGGCATGACGCTGCGGGCCTGCCGGCTACTCTCAAACTGGGCACAGGAGCCGAGATCCTCGGACTGGGAAGGACAGAGGGGCCATGAGGGGCTGTGGGCTCCACGTGACCCCGCCAGGAGAGAGGTCTGGCTTCCCCGGCCACCCGGGAGGCTGTTGGAGGAGGTCTGGGCCTCCTCTGGTTCTACCCACCTCATAAACACACGCTAGACGCTCTCACAAGGTCAGGAAGGGAACCCGCAGAGGCCCTTTACCCAGGGGGTAACGGAGGCCCCTCCCTGTCCCTGTCACTGACAGCTGTGGTGGGTTGGGGGAGGGTGTCCAGGGCAGGTCTGGGGTGGGAAGAAACCACCCTCGCACTTTATGGGCTTCCTGGGCTGACCAGTCCCAGGTGGGAAGAGGCTAGAAGCTGCTGCCCTCCCCACGCAGGGTGCCAGGACCCCGTGCATGGTGGAAGGGCACTGCCTCCTGCACGCCTTGCTCCTGCTGTCTGGCTTCTGCTAGTTCTCTGAGCTCTGAGGCTGAGGAACGGATGAAGAGAGCAGCCCCGCCAGATGCGAAAAACCCAAGATGCATGGTTCCACAGAGAAACACAGAATCTCACCGGGTCTGCTACAGTGCCTGCCCACTCCGTCACCCCCTCACCCCTCCAACAAAGATTCCTCAGCTGGGGCTGTGGGCAGGGTGGGGCTGGGCACTGGCATGGCCAGCATGCAAGGCGGCTCAACTGCTTCCTACAAGGCTGGGAAGGGAAGGTCTGTCCCAAGCCCCCTCCCTGCTTCCCTAATGGCCTCAGCACAGCCATGCGACACATCATTGGGGTAACAAGGCATCTTTTCTTGGCTTGGACAGAAACGCTGCTCTGAGCTCTCCAGCCTGGAGGGGCACTAAGGCAGCCCTGCCCAGGGACACTGGCCTCCCAAGATCACTGGGACCTCAGGTAGGTCTTCCCTGCTGGGGATGGGAGCCCAACACCAGGAGGCCCTCTGGCCACTGCCAGCTCTTGGCAAATGCCAGGGCAGACCCTCAGGGCCTCATGCAGCAGACTGGTGTGAAAGGTCAGGGGTCAGGAGGTAAGAACTAGGACACTGCCCCAAAGTTCTGGGACATCAAGCTCCAGCACATGAGCTAGACATAAGTTGTACCTGGGTTCACAGAGCCTGACTGATGCCCGTGCCTGGCGCTGAGCAGAGGGGACAAGCCAGGCCAGGTTTCGGCTTTGGCTCCAGCTGCAGCATGAGGTTCTGGCCCCGGGACCAGGTGTCTGGTCTTCCCTCCTCACTGCAGAAGAGCAGCACTGACCCTCCACCTGCAGAGCCCCTCCCCTGAGAGCCCACTCACAGGGGAGAACAGAGGCTCAGGGGCTGGACGGCTGCCCCACTGTTTCCCGACCTCCCTGCACCCACAGCCTGGATGGAGTCAGGGCACGGCCTCTGCCCTGCAGGTGACCGGCCATCACTGGCCAGGCCTTCCCAAGAGCTGAGTGCTGCACCGTGCCTTGGGACCACTGCCTGCCCCCCACCACCCCACCCCCCTGGCCAGGGACCCTGGCAGCAACCCCCTACCTGTGAGGGGTGAAGGTAGGGCTCTGGTGAGGCCAGGTTGGTCTGCACGGAGACGCTTTTCTCAAGCAGGATTTGGGGGAAAGCCAGCCTCTCCAAGGCACCCCTCTGCCAGTGCTTGCCATCCTGCTGGGCCAGCGCCTCGTCCTCGCTGAAGGCACGCACCACGGGCCCCGGCATGGGCAGGGGCACAGCGCCGTCGCTCTCGTAGCCTGAGCCATCCTGCTGGGAGTCCCAGCTGCCCCGCTGCTTCATGTGGAAGTGGGCCTGCTGCGCCTCCCAGGCCAGCCGCGCCTGCGCCAGGAAAGGCTCAGCCTCGCCCGTCTTGCCCTCTGCCCGCTTCACAGGGGCCAGGCTGGGCCCGCACAGAGGCCGCTCCTCGGCCAGGGGCTGCTCCCCGAGGAGGTCGCGGTCCCCGGCGCCTTCGGTGGCCGAGGTGCTGGGGGCGCGGCACAGAGAAGGGTTCCTGCTCTTCCTCTTGCGTGTGCCTGGGGAGTAGCTGGTTGAGGACATGGTGTCCTGCTGGCTGGACCAGGACATACTGTCATCCTGGGCCTGGGGCACCTGCATGGGCGGCTGGGTGTGCCGCGGCTCGGGCCCCTCCATGCTGCTGTAGTCCCCGGAGGAGACCCCCAGGCGCTGGTCCCGCAGCAGGCAGAGGCTGGGCTGCAGGGGGAGCGAGCCTCCTCCGGGACCGGGAGCGTACTTGTGCCTCGGGCCCCCGCGCAGCTTGGGGCTGGAGCCTGCCTGTTCCACGTACACAAGCTGCCGCACGTACTCCTTGCCGGCGGGGCTGTACTCTAGGCTAAGGAAGCGGTCTGGGCACCTCTGCCTGGTCAGCACTAGCTGCTGGGAGGGCGAAGAGGAGCCCTGCTTGGGAGACTGGGGGAAGGGGGCTGGCTTGCGGCCTGGAGACCGCTGCGGTGAGCCGGCCTGGTAACCCCCGCCAGCCTCGCACTGGACGTCCATGGGGGGCTCATCATAGATGGGGGCCTGGTACTCCACAGGGGGCTCCTCGTAGAGTGGGGGCTCATAGGCGTAGCGTGGGGAGGAGGGCTGGGAGTCACTGGTGGGCTTGCGTGGCTGGGCCAGCAGTGGGGAGCAACTCCCTAGCTCAGCCCTCTTCAGGAAGGGTGAAGGCCGCCGTTCAGGAAAGAAGATGGGGCCGTCAGAGTCCTGGGCGAACGTCTGTAGGCTGGGCGAGTGTTGCCCACCTGAGGGTCTGCGGGAGCGGCTGCTGGCGTGGCTGTCTAGGGCATAGCCATTGCCCTGGGAGGAGAGGAAGCTGGGCTCCCGGTCAGCAACTTTGATAAGCATGCGCTCCTTAGTGCCTGAATTCCACCGAAGTGAGGAGGTCCTGGAGGTAGGGAGACAGGCACAGGTTACCTGGGGGAGGCTCTGGGGGGGACAGGCACAGATTAGCTGGGGGAGGCTCTGGGGAGGACAGGCACAGGTTACCTGGGGGAGGCTCTGGGCAGGGCGGGGAGGCACAGGTTACCTGGGGGAGGCTCTGGGGGGGAGGACAGGCACAGATTAGCTGGGGGAGGCTCTGGGGGGGGGGAGGCACAGGTTACCTGGGGGGGGCGCTGGGGGGGGGGACAGGCACAGGTTACCTGGGGGAGGCTCTGGGTGGGGACAGGCACAGGTTACTTGTTGGGGAGAGGTGGGAGTATGGCTCAGCTAGCAGCCTGAACCCACTGGCCTGGGTGTCACATGTGTCTCAGGTCAGGTCCCAAAAGACCTGGTCATTTCTCAGTGTTCTCCTCAATTCCCAAATGGGGGCGGTAGGCTTTAGGGGCCTGATACTTGCTGGGGGGCTCCCTGTAAATGGCCTGACCACCCTTCATTGCTCAGGCTCTGAGCCCTGGGCAGTGCAGCCTAGGGTAGCGGCCCTCCTGTCCTCACACAGCCCCACCCCCAATGCCCATCATCACACTCCCTGCAAGGGTGTGTGTGCACACGCGTCTCTGCTTGTGCACGCATGTGGGGGTACGTTCTGGTCACACCGTCACCAGGCAGAGAACTATTTCTACAGCAGCCAGGGGCGGCCCTCCCAGAGGCCTCCCTAATCCTGGCTTTGACATGCTTATTATGCTCCTCAGTCCAACACCTCCCTGTGCCTGACCAGGCGGTGGGCTGCTTCTCACCCCTTAGCATCTCAGGTCCTGTTTTTCAACCAGAGGGTCCTGTGTGCTCCAAAAAGGCAGTCTCCCCTCCTATGACTCTGCCCTCACACATACACACAACACTTTGCCCTGGGCACAGAGGGAAAACAGCTTTTAGAGCAAAATCGAGGGGAAAGTACAGTGATTTCCCGTGCAGCCCTAGCCCAGCTCCCGTGCAGTCTCCCCAGCTACCGCCATCCCCGCCGGAGTGGTGCAGGGCTACAGCCGATGAGCCACGCGGCTCGTTCTGCTCTCCCGCCGGCCGGGAGTGCCCGTCCCTGCTGCCCCGCGTCCTCGCCGGCATCTGGTGTCGTGGGTGCTCTGGATTTTGGCCATCCCAGCAGGTGTGTCGTGGGATCTCGCTTCCCCGATGCATCTCCCCGATGACGTGACGTGGAGCATCTTTTATTTGGTCATTCGCCACTGTACGTCTTCTCTGCCGCGTCGGTGAGCTCTCCGGCCCGCTTCTTAACGGTGCCGCTTGTCTCCTCTTCTTTGTATATTTTAGGTAATAGTCCTTTATTACATGCAGCTTTGTAAACACTGTCCCAGACTATGCCTTGTCATCTCATTCTCCTGCCACTGTCTTGAACAGCAGAGATTTTCATTTTCATGAAGTTGAGCTGATCAGCTATTTTGCTCGCGGATGGTGCCTTTGCTGCTGTATCTGAAAATCACTGCCACACCTGAGGTCGCCTAGGTTTTCTCCTGTGTCATCTTCTAGGAGTAAGTTTTGTATGTGATCCATTTTGAACTATTTTTTGTGAAGGGTGTCAAATCTGTGTCTACATTCATTTTTTACATGCAGACCTCGCCGATCCAGCACGTTCATTGGAAAGACTATCCAAGACTATCCTTACTCCACTGACTGCCCTTGCCCTCATCAAAGTCGGCGACTGTACTGTCCGCATCTGTTCCCAGCTCTCTACTTTGTCCCACCGACCTATTTCTCTACTCTTTGCCAACACCACATTGTCTTCATTAGGGTAGCTTCATAGTAAGTCTTTTTTTTTTTTTAAGATTTTATTTGTCAGAGAGAGAGCAAGCACCAGCAGGAGGAGGGGCGGAGTGAGAAGTAGGCTCTCCTCTGAGCAGGAAGCCCGGTGAGGGATTCGATCTCAGGACCCCAGGATAGTGACCTGAGCCAAAGGCAGTTGCTTAACTGACTGAGCCCCCGGGCGTCCCACAGTAAGCCATAAAACCGAGCAGTACTCATCCTCCGGCTTTGTTTCCCGTGAATACTATGTTGGGTATTCTGCATCTCTTGCCTTTCCATATAAATCTTAGACTGAGTTTGCTGCTGTCCCCAAAACAACTTGCTGGGATTTTGACTGAGGTGGCACTGAGTCTACGCGGCGTACGCTGGGAACAACCAACACTTTGACAACATTGAATCTTCCTGTCCACGAATAGGGGACACCACTCCGTTTATTCAGTTCTTTGCTACCTTTCCTTAGAGTTTTGCAGTTTTCCTCATATAGATTCTTTTTTTTTAAAAGATTTTATTTATTTATTTGACAGAGATCACAAGTAGGCAGAGAGGCAGGCAGAGAGAGAGAGAGGAGGAAGCAGGCTCCCTGCTGTGCAGAGAGCCCGATGTGGGGCTCGATCCCAGGACCCTGGGATCATGACCTGAGCCGAAGGCAGAGGCTGTAACCCACTGAGCCACCCAGGCGCCCCTCCTCATATAGATTCTGTACATATTTTGTTAGATTTATACCTACGGGTTTAATTTTAGGGGGTACCAATGTAAATGTATTAACTTCAAATTCCACTTGTTCATTGCTAGTATACAGGAAAGCAACTGACCTTTTAAACTTACCTTGTATCCTGAAAACTTGCTCTAACCACTTATCAGTTCTAGGTGGTTGTTGTTGTTGGTTTTTGATCAGTTCTTTAGGATTTTCTATATAGATAATTTTAGACTGAAATTCTGATGAAAAACCGTAGAGATCACGTGAGGCTCTGGATTTATTTTTCCTTCTGACAGGCAGCCGGGCAAAGGGCAGATAATCTGAACCCCACGAGGGACTGAGCTGACTGGACATCAGGGTTGGGTCTGAGGGCTGGTCTACTTATGGCTCGTCCTGCTCCTGGGTGTAGCCTTTCTGGAGCCCCGGTGGAAACCCGGAAGGTTAATTAGGGCTCTTTCCGCAGCCCCTGAGCTCTGACGGTTGGAGCCAATGGAACCACCCAGTGGCCAGTTTGGCTCCTCAGCCTCTCAGCTGTGCTGAGGGACAGGCAGCATCGTCTGTGTGCTGAGTAGCACTGACCTCGCCTCAGCCCTCAAGTCTTCACTGCTTAGTAGATCTCTGATGACTTCAGGACAACTTTGTCTATTTTATTCTCCGTGTGCAGGCTGGTCTCAGGTAACTCAATGCAGTGGTGACTGCAAAAGTGGAAATCCCAAGTGTTTTAAGAAACCAGTTATATGGTTTGCCACCTCTGGCCCTGTCCGCTACTGCTGGACCTTTCTGGACAAGGTCATGACTTCCAGTGACTGGGGCTGGGAGAGGGAGGCCTTGGAGAACACGGGCCAGTGACGTGAGACTGGATTGAGGGCACGAAGGCCCTTGCCAGCTGCGAGGCAGCCCACCCCGACACACCAGGTACCTGGCCCACTCCGCACAGCCGGGATCCGACCGTACCAGCTGACAGAGATACCCAGCAGCTCAGTCTCACTGTCCTGAGGCAAAGTCCGAGTGGCAGGACTCGGGATCAGGCTGCCATTCCTGGGGACTCTGCTCCTGGCTGCTGGAGGCAGAGGGAAGGATGGTGGTTCATGTGTCAGGGCCCAGCAGACCCTAAGAACTGGCTTGGGGATCCAGAGATCTGGGACTGGACTCCAGCCTGCCAGTCCCTGGCTGTGGGGCTTGGGAAAAATCACTTGCCATCTCTGACTCAGTGTCCTCATTTATTCTCAGGAGGGTCGAGTCACAGAATGTGCATACGATGAAGTCCTCAGCTCAGTGCTGACACACAGGAGACACTCAGCGTGAAGCATTCTTTCCGCACTTTCTTCCACCACTCAGCAGACAGTGACCCAGCCCTGGTGCCAGGGCCCTTGTGGGGCTGTGAGGTAAAGAATGATCCTCGCCTGCTGAACAGTGCTGAGGGCTGCGGGCCAAGGAGGCACCCTGTGGCCTGTCAGTGGTGGGCCATCAAAATGGTGCCATAGGATGAGGAGGGTAAGGAAGTGTCAGGGTCAAGAGCACATGAGAGGCTCAGATGACACACCTGTTTCAGGACCCAAGAACAGTTCCATCTAGTCAGGGCAGAAATGGGAGAGACCGAGGCAGGGGGAAGGCAGACCCATGGCCTTGGCCTCCACCATGCAAACCGCGCCCCTGGGCCGAGGGTGAGGCCGAGCACCCAGCACTGCAGCGTGCGTGTGCCCTACAGAAGCCACGCCAGGCCCGAGGCCCATGCAGGAACCTCTGGGTCATGGACTCCAAGTCACACTTGGGAAAATGGGCCCAGAGATGGCCCTTGGTCATGGAGAGTAGGAGCCCAGCAGCCAAGAGGGGCCTACCCCTGCCAGGCTTCACCGCACCAGCAGCTTCAGCTCTCGTCCTCAGGTCAGGCCTTTCCACAGCCCCATACCCTGTGTTCCCACCTGACCCCACGGCTCTGCTCTTCTTCTGGAAGCCCTCTTTGAAGCCCTACATCCAGTTTCCAGGCCCTGCTGCCTGCCTCTGGTGTGTTCCCCCACCTCTGACCACTGGGTGGCCACATGGCCCAGCTGCCTGTGGCCACCCTTTCTACCTAGTCCGACCTCCCTGGCCTGCCCTCAGACTTGTGTCCTTATGGTTCCCCAAACACAGGAAGCCTGTCCTCACCCATGCCTTAACCCCACATCAACTCTACTAGGTGGAAGTGCCAGGCAGAGAGTCACACCGTCTCTACATAAGATGAGACGACTGCTTCGTCTGGTTTTCAGTGACTCTTTCAAACCACGAGAGGAGGATGAGAACGTCCACGCACCGGAAACGCTGGGGAGACCCAAGCAGGGCAGAGGCGGTGAGGAAAGGGCAGGAGCGGGGAGAGAGGGCTCCGTTCGGCTCAGACTACTTCTCCACGGCCTTTTTTCAAAAGGAGAACGGAGAGCACCTCACATGACCACAGCCTGGGGAACTGAGGCCGTGTATGTGGACGCCGGACCCCTGTAACGGAACCTTGCTCATGCGGACAAGAAACTGTACACCTGAGGTTCTGTTTGGAAAACCACCTGAACTGTGCAGCCCTCCGACTGCCCCATAACGCTTCAGGCTGCCAAACCACCACACCTGGAGTGGACGGGCTGTCTGCCAGGCATCCCATCACTGCCCTTGCCCTGCTCAGGGAGCTGACCAGCACATGGCCTTAGGCGGGTTGCACAAGCCTCCCCCACTCCCCATCCCCCTTGCAGACCCTGCTCACAGTGCGGGAAGGAGGGTGAGTCTCTTCCCTAGTCCGTGCAGACACTCTACCTTCCCGTTCTTCCCACTCTGGCTGGTTAAGTACCTTTGTTCCTAAAACTGCAATGTTCCGTTTTCATATCCAGCTCAGGAGCCCCCAGGACAGCAAAGCCAGGGCCCCAAGAAGCCACCAAAGACCAGGTGGGCATGTGCTCCCTAAAGGGTGTGGGGCACTTGAGAGGCAGCCCACCAAAGCACCACTCAATCCACAGGAAACAGGAAGTCTGAGGGCCTGCCCTGACCTACCTTCACTGCAGCAGGCGCACCGAGGGCCCACCCAGTCAGCCCTCTGCACCCTGCTTTACTGAGGACACGGAAGCACAGGGGCGACAAAACCCACCCAGCGGCACACACCCACACTTGTGGACCCAGGTAGGCTCAGATCCCATTCCATATCAACAAACCCGCCAACTCTTCCAAGATCAACGATTCAGCTGTCTGAGCGAATCCCAAAGGCCTCTCAGGTCTTCAGATCCCTCCCCAACCCTGGTATTACTCCTGCTGGTCCGTGTTGAGGGCTCCTAGGCTACCTGGAGGCACAGCACCCCGCCTGGACCTATGGGCTGGCTGAGGATGGCCCCAGTCTGACAGAGGGTCGTGTCTGGAACCCTGCAAGGCCAAGCCAGGACCAAGAGAAACTGAGGTCCACTTCCCTCCTTACGATGAACACCAACCTTCCCAACTTCACCCAGGAAGCACTCTGCTCAGGCCTGGAGCTCCAGGGGAGAATTCGTGCTGAGGATCCCCCAGGGACTCAGCCCTGTTAGGAGCAGTGTCTCCATGGCTCCCCAAACAAGGTGGTGACAAGCTTCTTCCACCTTTCTGAGAGCTGCCACGTGAGCCTGGGGGCCACTCCAAAAGGCCTCTGCCCAGGTGCTGGCAGCCCCATAGCCTCCCCTCATGCCCCTCTGGCCAGTACGGGACCTCACATGCTTCCTGTTGAGCCAGACTCTTCTCCAGCATCCCCAGAGTTGCCAGGAAAACCACCCTCTGGTCAGGAGACAGGACCAAGTGTGAGCCACTGGGTTCTACCTGTAGTGAAGAAGCTGACCGTCCACATTATAATCCCGGTAAATCTCATAGTCCTTCTCGAGGAACACTCCTGGTGGGGAAGAGCTGGAACACAGGAAAATGAAAGGAAGACATGAGCACAGGTGAAATAATTTTAAAAAACATGGTACATTCAAAACAATTAGCCTTTCACTTTTAAGTATGTAAGTGTCATTCTTTTAGTTTTTCAGGAAAATACCCCAGTGTCCAGCCCACAAAGCTATCCCCTTCATCAGGTCAAAGGGTTACTTCCGCTGCCCTAAGCCTGCCTCGCTGCACATGGCCTGGACAAAACGGACTGGAGACCCACCTGCCCTCCAGCAGGGACAGCTCCACTGCAGCCCTGTCTACAGGCTGGGGGACAGGCAAAGACACTGACTGTCCCATCCTGAATTTTAGGAGCTCACATGACTTGGAACTGGGGCTTCTACTCTAAGGCCATACTGGTGGATTAGTAAGAACCATGATTTTAGGGGCAGTTGGGTGGCTCAGTC